TAGTATGTGGTTAGTCAGTATGCATGGGAAGCTTAAGTAATTAAGCGGAAGGAACTCTGAGTCAGGCCGGCCTTCTGTCCAGAGCTGCAGCTAGTAATAGTTGTAGGAAAAATATCGGGCTCTTGAAACTGTCTCCGGACAGCACCCTATACTGAAAGGTAGCCGCACGGCAAGGGTTTCTTTCTTTCTTTCTTTCTTATTCACAATTATGAAAGAAGCGGCACAACTTCTTCGTATTTTTCTTTTCTCTTTACAGTAATTGCTTTTTTTCTCCGTTCTTTTCCTGCTATACCAACTTTTCTTTCGTTCACTATTACAAATCATCTTGCCGGCTGAAACATTGAAGTCTCATTTTATTTAAGAATTCACCAAAGAATGAAGTCAAAACAGTTGGTGTTGTAAGAGAAACAATGACTTGAGGATATTTCATCGGAGGCCTACGATCTTCACTTGATTTATTTTGTGACTTTATTGATAGTAGTACGAGAATAATAGTTCCCAGAGAAAACAACGTATTTTCTATTGAATAGAAAATATACAGCAGAAAGTCTATAGCGATCTTGTATGTTTGTAACTTCTGAACTTTGAGTGCCTCTAAAAATAGGTAGTTCTACATTTTTTTAAAAATCTTTCACGTCATCCAGAGCGTGCAAAAGCTGTTTGTGTTCTATCTTCAGTAATCTTACTCGTGTTATGTGAAGTGGTCGTCAATCTCTCAATATCAATTCAGTTATGCTTGTTAATCCAGTTCATCCAGACCCGATTGTGGTACCGATGATTAGGAGTAAGTTATTGCTTCTCTTGTTTTAAAGATACAATCATCACGTTGGCGTATTTTGTTTTTGCTACTTTATTTTACAGCTGGATGCATGAAACACGAATTTGATTCGAGCTATTCTATTCGCTTAAATGGAATCATTTCTCAAGATGAATATCAACAATCGGTGGAGAATATCAACCGGGTAGCACGTGTAAACGTATCATCCATCATTCTTACACTCATTATTTGTTTGTGTGTAATCACTGGTATTGCCTTGTTCATTGCTGGTGGACTCCCATGTCGTCTCTTTTTTATCAACTGTGCCGCAGTTACGCGCAGAGCCAATTTGGCGTCGCAGTTACGCGTAACTATGGCGCATTGATCGTAGTGGAGGTTCTATAAGAAACTACGCGTACTGTGATGAAGATCAACGTAACTGCGTCCTAGTGATCGCATCTTACGATCCCTTGTAGGTATAAATGGCCAATTATAAAGTATTCCTTCTTATTTGTAATTGGCTACACTCTAACAATAAAATACAGTCACAGAAAATCAGTATAAATAGCAGTGCTCGTCACATTTTCTTTCATAAGTCAATCTACTATAAGCAGTAGAATACATATTTTTTATTTTTTTTTAATTTTTCTAGATTTAAATCTTTTTTAGCTTTTCAGCTTTTTGTAATTAAATTTTTTTTCTTCTATTTATTAAATTTTTTTTCTTCTATTTATTAAATTTTTAAAAATTATTTTAGATGTTAATATTTTAATTTTTCTAGATATTTATTTTTTATTTTCCTTAATTTTTGAAATTAAAATTTCTTTAAACTTTTAACTTAGTAAATTTTTCAATTTTTTTAGGTTTTAATTTTTCAATTATTTGTTATTGTGAAAATTTTTAATTTAAAAATTGTTTTTTTATTTTTTTATAAAAATTTTAATTTTCTAGTTTTAAATTTTTTATTTTGTGCAAAAATATTTTAAATTCACAATAAAAGTACAAATAAAGTGAAAATCTAATCTATGTCATCTTTTGTACCAATTGCGACGATACTGTGGCCCATAATTGCGAAAAACGTGGACGCCGTTATGCGTAACTGGGATTTTTTCACCGGAACTACCCGTAATTGCGATTTCTTTATCGCAGTTACGCGTAGTTACGGCGCAATTTTCCGCAATTACGGGTCACAGTGCGATCGCAGTTACGCCGTAACTGCGCCACAGTTTCATCGTAATGAAACACATGGGCTAACAGCAAAGACTTTTCAACGATCTGGATTTCCAATATTATTTGCCATTGCACTTGCTTTAGAAGTTTTTGGAGTGTTTGTTGGCTGTATTGGATTTATAATAGTAAGAAACTCTCGTGAAAGCCAAATGAGACGAGTCATTGCTAATGAGTCAATGAAATATTCGAGAAGATCACCAGTACCATGTACTTGGCGATTGAACATCATTAGAACGTGGCGCAGAGGACGTGGTCGTGGTGGTGGAATTAAACACATCGTGTATAAAGTGAGTAATACAATTGCATCGATCTTTTTGTTTTTTGTATCAATCATAGTATTTCGCTGATCCATATAAGTGAATACATATTCTTCGGATTTTCATTGTAACGAGAACATTTTTGAGTCAGTTCTCATAAGAATGCATATCATCTCGAGCTGTGCATTGTTAAAACATAAACTATTGGCCAGTATTGCTTTGAGCAGCAGATAGTGATCAAGCGATTTTCCTAGAATTGTTTCTCTGCGATTCTAGGTCAATGTGCTCAGTTTTAGTTAGTTCACTTACAGAACATAGAATAATATCGAGCCCGTATGACGAACAGACGCTATTTGTTTATACTCGAGTTGAATATCCGGTTGACGCATCAGCTCTGCACTTTTGTTTTGGTTCAGCAATACATTTATTTTTCAACAACATTCTCCCATCTTTCTGGCAATAGTTCAATTCCACGTCTGTAAAAACTAGCCGGTTTTGATTCGAAAAAGGCAGCCAGGTCGGATTTTAGCTCATCGAAGTCTTCCCACGGAAAAAAAATTTAAACCAAACCGCGGTTTGACCAGAGAAAACCGCGGTATTATTTTGATATCACTTAAAACCGCGGTTATCAACGGTTTTTTACACCGCGGTATGCACACTCATAACCGCGGTTCTGAATATAGCGGTTATTAACGGTTTTTCAAACCGCGGTGTGCTTGATCATAACCGCGGTTTCAATATAGCGGTTATTAACGGTTTTTCAAACCGCGGTGTGCTTGATCATAACCGCGGTTTCAATATAGCGGTTATTAACGGTTTTTCAAACCGCGGTGCACTCGATAATAACCGCGGTTCTGAATATAGCGGTTATTAACGGTTTTTCAAACCGCGGTGCACTCGATCATAACTGTGGTTCAGAAAACCGTGGCTTGCATGTGAGAAACCGCTGTGCATACCAAAGTGTGAAGGAATGTGTAAGGACATTCGAGATGTCGTGCCCCACAAATTCCGGCAAATTTTACTTATATCACATACATAATATAAGAACTCTACAAAGACACTTTGTGGAAATGGGGCTCGGGAGAGTTCACTTCACTGCCCCTCGAAGGGCGCCACACCTGAAACCTTGAGCGTACAGGTTATGGTCGGTATACCTGCTTCTGCTGAGTCTAGTGTATCGAAAAAAAACGCGTTTGAAACGGTTTTTCGATATAACGGTAGTCAGACCATTTATGCCTTTAAAAAAAACACCCAAAACCGCGAAAGTCAGACCATCTATGCGTATCTCTAACACCGCCCAGAACCGCGGTTTTAGAAATCGCGGTTTGCAACGGTTTTCACAACCGCGGTATGCGACGGTTTTCAAAACCGCGAAAGTCAGACCATCTATGCGTATCTCTAACACCGCCCAGAACCGGGGTTTTAGAAACCGCGGTTCGCAACGGTTTTCACAACCGCGGTATGTGACGGTTTTCAAAACCGCGATTCTGGGCGGTGTTAGAGATACGCATAGATGGTCTGACTTTCGCTATTCGAAAACACCGGCTGAAACCGCGGTTTTTGTGACCGGTGAGTACCGCGGTTTTTTGAAAAAATTTTCTCCGTGGGTTCATAGTGTTTATTGCACAAATAGTTACGAAGTGATAGGAACAGATGATAATCGGCTGGTGAGAGGTCTGGTTACCACGGCGGGTGTGGAAGAATTTCTCATCCTAGCTGTTCGATTTTTTGCTGAGTCAACTTTGCCACGTGAGGTCGACTATTGTCATGAAGAAGGATGACATCTTTTTGATTCGCCAAAGTCGGTAGCTTTTGAAGTAGAACTTCATTCAATCGCTGCAATTGTTGAGAGTAGACATCGGCGGTAATCGTCTCATTTATATCTAACAACTCGAAATAGATGACACCGCTCATATCCCATTAAATTCACAGCATTACCTTCTTTGGATACGCGCTGGGTTTCACATCCGGCAATGGTTTTTGATCAGGACCAAGCAACTGTCTTCTATGATAGACGTTGGCATAACACACCCATTTTTCATCTCCAGTAACGATTCGTTCTAAAAGTGGGGTATGCTTCTGTCGGAACAGTAGTGAAGCACAAATCGATGCTCGCTGAGTCAAGTTGTCTATGGACAATTGGTGTGGAAACGAACTTCCGTACTTATGAACCTTGCCGAGAGCATGAAGGTGACGCTCCACGGCCGAGTGGTGACAGTTGACTTGTTCGACTAGTTTGCGTGTTGTTTAAAGTGGATCGGCGCCGAGGAAAGCTTGCAACGCTTCATCGTCAAAGTCCACAGGTCGCCCGGAGCGAGATTTATCCGTCAAGGTGACATCTTCGGAACGGAACTTGGAAAACCAACGGTGAGAAGTGAATCTGTCGATGGCTTTCTCCCCATATGTACCACAAATATTTCTTGCTGCTTCGGCTGCTGTTGAGCGTCGATCGAACTCGCCGAGCAGACACAGTGCCGATTCGGCACTGCCGAATATGAATTTTTTGTTCGTCCATGTAATTGGAAACAGATAACAACAGAATAGAACAGGATATGTGTATTTATATAGCGATCAGAGTCTCATAAAATACAAAATACGCAATAGGAGTATTAGTACGTAGTAAGCAGGAAAGATCTAGGTCAATATCGATGCTTGTTTGACCTTGAGAGAGCAGAAATGAATTTATAATAGTGAGATGAAGGAAAACAGAAGAACGAAAGAAATACATATATAACGAAAAGAGAATATCTTTGTTGAAAAATAAATTTGTTGTTGGACGAAAAAATAAAAACGTGCAGAACTTATGCGCCAACCGGATAATAACAAGACTTAGTCATTTTTATTTCGTTGCTTTTTTTAGTTAATAATCGAACTTAGTCAAACTAATGCAACTTATTTGAATCAACGTGCTCCACAAGCAACATCCTATTTTTCACAGCAACATAATATTTATCTTCCACTCAATTCTACTTCAAACGCAGCATTTTGCTCTCAATGTGGCGCCCCTACACAAGATTCAACAGCAAATTTTTGTCGCTCATGTGGTAATGCACTCAAAAAATATTAAAGCACGATTGTTAATGAGCGCTGAAATATGTACATAAATATCAAGAAAACTAGGCCCTGATCAATTTCTCCACAGATTGCAGCATACATTTTGAAGTGTTGCTGTTTTGAAACTATCAGACATTACGATAAATGTAAAAGGAATTTCTCATATACAATTAAAGAAACTCCCTTCTATTTCACATTTTAATCCTTTCGAAATTGCATTTTTTTACTAATAACCAAAGGGTGTGAGTGTGCTTATGAGTGTAAGATGTGATTAAGGGTGTATTGAGTCGATGTGGGCATGAAGAGTGGGAATATTGTCCTTGGTGAACATATCAATTTTAATTGTTCATGCAATTTACAAGTATATCCATATTCTTGAGGGTGTGGGGTGTGGGTGTGGTTCTTTTCATCGTCGATACCAGTATATCCACACTCTCAATTTTTGTTTTTCTTATAATTCTTGAAATGTAAATTGTGAACGATTAGTCATGATGCTGACTAAAATTCGGTATAGAATATATGAAAGAGTTAGACGAAGAGCTGTTAGACAGTTGACGTTCGATTATCATGAATGTTTCTCTTCGAGATGCAAAATTGTTTAAATAAACTACAACTCCTAGATATTCGATGCACTTGCAATGGAGAAAATCATCTTTGTTTAGAGTAGACGAATATAGATTCAAACTAAATGAAACAACAACCCTTAATTATTTTATATGCATATTTACATGGTATTCTGCTAAAGTTGATATTAGAGATGAATGAATTACGATGCAAGTCCATCCGATTCTTTGCCTTAGAACCGGTGGTGGCGAACCACAACTAGATTTAACATAGCCCATATATGGACAGCGCCGACGAAAAAAATTGCCAACTCCGGATTCGAGTAGCTCATCTCAGAAACAAGAAGTAAAATAAAAAGAAATGAAATAAATATGAAAAAATACCAAATATTCTCAGAAATATAAAAAATCTGCAACAATGTAAGCTTCTGCGTTTTAGACTTCATCAAGTGGTAACCCTGAAACGAATGCAAATCGAGGTGAATTCACCGCTCATCGTCGATTAAGAGATAATGAACGTTTTTTTATTATGCTTTAATGGAAGAATTAATGCCCGAAGGCTTATTAATACATCACGAGTGGTACAGGTTACAATTCATAAAAGAGAGACTTGAACCTACAGACATCGGGACGAAAGATAATACAAGCCAGATAGAACAATAGAAATAACAGTAGATATAGACATACCTATCCCTCACAGGCGGAACGTAATCACGAGGGTAAATATCGCTCCCAAGTAGGAGGAAGGCAAGAGGAGAGCAAAACGAACAAACGTCTAATCCATCCTAGGGTACAACAAGAGGAGAAAAGAAAAACAAACCACAGAGAAAAAGAAGAAGTGTTTTGTAGGGTGATTGATGCAAAGGTGGGAGACCATCGGGGAATAGTTTAGTTTAGTTTCATTTCATAGTAACGAGTTCGGAATTTCTGCCAGTACCTTGAAATCAGATTCATCGGCATGGGGGATTGAGTTCTCTTCACTATTCTCTAACCATTTTAGACATTTCTCGATGGTGGAAACATGTGGAACTAGGCGTTTTGATCTGTACACATGTTTCACGACGAATGCTTTCTTCAGTCACTGGACTCCTAAAGACATTTAGGGTGTGCTGTTCGAACAGGAGGGTTCCATCTACTGAGTTCTTTAACGCTTGCTTGTACTTTGTCCACTATTTACTACATAGATTTTTTAGCGACGTCTCTTCGAATAGTAATGAGAATATATAGACGTTCCAGAACCATACTCCTAGTATTCGTTTCAGGCACGTGAGATAAAAATGGTTCAGATCACTTTGTTGACAGCTCGTTAGCACTGAGAATATCCCGAATAGACAAGTAAAAAGGGGGAACACACAAGTCGAGAACAGGATTCTTCGAAAAGTCTGTATTGAGGAACGATACATGTGATAGAATTTCACGATTGCTACTTTTTGTGTTATCCTATTTTTGTATTCAGTAATCATTTTACCCCAGCCTAGCTTACATGTGATCTGATAGCCTAGGTATTTAAAACTGTTTTTCCATGAGATTGCAGCATCTCCTATCGAAATTTCAAATTTTGTGCTTCCGACCGCTCTGGTTGTCCGTTTGAGCTCCGTTTTAGCATAGTTTATAGGTTGGACCGATACGAATGAGTACTATTCGAGATATTCAAATAAAGTGTTTAGTCTCTTTTCTAGATCGAGACAAGATAATGAACATTTTAATCACAATGTACAGCTGTAAAATGGAAAAATTGATGAACATATCAAAATATAGAGCGACTATTTGGTACACTCTTGGTGATTAAAGATCACATGTTAGTTAAAGCAGTGTACACGTACCTTATATCTGCTAGCTGTAGTAATGCTTCCGTTTCAAATAGAATCTTATTGAAAAAAAAATCATATTAACGATGAGGACTGTTGCTTGTTGCAACATTTTTTTCATTTTTTATTATATTTTTCTTATTATTATTATTCATAACAACATTTACATGAGAATGATTGGAATTTTGTGTACGATTTAACAATTTAGAACAATAACAAATTTCTCGAAATTCCGGTCTTGTCTGTGCTATACAAACGGATGCATGTCCATATTTATTCAATCGACTTAAATGTCGTTTCGTTATAATAAATGTATCTTTTAATGGATTATACTCAGCTGTCAATTCGAATTGACCATGTCCAGGTAGAGTTTCAAATTGAATTTGGTAATATTTTGTTTGGTTGAATGATAGACTTTTGGTTAATTTTCTCAATGTATTATTACGAAAATTTGGAATACGACCATCTTTATCACTTGAACCAATAAATTTTAATAAGCGTTCATTTGCTTTCAATAGATTTGCTTTTGTTATTTGATATAAAGTTAATTTTGCGCATTGATTTTTATATTCGGACACAAAATTATTCAAATAATCTACAGCTTGATATCCAAATTTTTGAATAATAGGCTCATGAATTGATATATCATTCCAATGAAGACATGCACACCAATGTTGCTCTATATGAGCTTGTAGACAAGTTCGATTTTCTGGTATTAATTCAAAAAGACTATAGGCACGAGTTGATTTCGATTGATAGGGATCATTGGAATGAAATTCAAATAAATGCTCGAATGTTTCATGCAAATCAAAAGGCGTAGTTAAACGATGAGAATTTAAACGTAAATTATGCATTATGTGTGGATATTTTTCTTGAAATTTCAAAGGCATACGAATAGATATAAATGGCAAGCGTTCTTCTAGTTTACCCTGGTACGTTTTTCTCAATGTTGAAAAACGAGCGCCATGGTCAGTCATTAAAATAAATATTGTATTATCAAAATAACCAAATTGATTCATTAGTTTTAAAAATTCAAGCAATTCGTCGTCACCATAGGGTAAACGATTGTTTGAATCATGAGAATATTGTGAATGAAAAATAAAGGAAAATTTCGGTTGACTTGGATACATATGAAATAGATCACGTGCCCAATTGAGCATTGACTGTAGACGTGTAATAGAACCAAAACAATATGGCTTAGATGTACGCATAGATTCAGCTATGAGATAAAATGGACGAGCATAATGATCGACAGGTTGATCACGAAAACCTTTCAAGCGCATTTGAAATGTACCAACGGATTGTAGATCTTCAGCCCATTGAGTAATATAACCATTATCTAGATGTTAAAATTAAAAAACAAATTCATTTCTATCAATAGGAACAACTCAAAACTAAACTTGTGTATACTTTTAAATTTTTTCCAAATCCAAGGAAATCGATCAACTGTTTCGGCACCGGGCTGACCGCGTCTTGCTTCAGGTAATTCTCTTTCGGTTTTGCCAGTTAAAATAGGTAAAAGTGCTGCTGGTGTACCATCACCGACAATATTGTAACCTAGAAAAATTGAATAAATATTCTAGAAATATTTTTCTAGCTATCAACGGAATCGAACCTTTCATTACAATACTTCCTAAATCTTTAATTAAATAATTGTAACTTTTTGGTAAAAAACGCATAAAAGTCATACGAGAAACAGAATCAAATCCCAACATAAATACATTATATCCTAAATGAGTTTTAACGATTGGATTCCATATGTGCCTTCAAAAAAACAAAAAAACATGGAATTTGAATAAAAACAAAATAAACACATTTCAAAATACCGCATATGTAAACCAGCATCAAACATAATACCGGAATGTATATTTGAATAATAACTTCCATCACGTGCTCGGCAATCAGCACGAAAAAAATCAGATACAAGAGGCATTTTATCTACAACAGGAAATAGCCGAGCACCTTCAATTGTCGAAAAATCATCTTTGGATCGAAGAATAGGGCGATAAGCACAAACAATAGCTCCATGTTTTTGTAAAGCTTGCTGAGATAATCGAAAAGTACCTAGAATTAAATTAGGTTTTTACACGAAAATATTGTATATAAATATATCAATCTGCTTACCATTATCAACATTAACCCAATTAGTTGCTTTTTCACAATCTGGTTTAGCTTTTGTCACAGGTTGCAAATATTTCCATATGTCTTGATTATCGATAGTTAATTTTGGATATCGACAAGCAAGGTGTGTCGTATTAAAATATTCTTCATGTAAGAAATAGACATTTTTCGTTGGCTGTATATTTGCATCCGTAAGATCATTTTCATCAACAAGAAAAATTTTATCTATGCCATTTCGATAAGGTTGAATGTAATTATTTGAAAAATATTTATGAATTAATATCATTGTTGAAATCGTCGAAAATAAAGTTAACCATAATATCGATGTACGAGTGACTAGATAACGTCGACAGCGACGACGTATTTGCATTTCACTTTATCTTACACAAGTTTTTGTTTTCTTTTTCTACGTCGATATTTCCAACAGAATTTGATAACCATCAGATTCTATTTACAATGAAGAACATTTAACAGCGCCCATAGATATAGAAACTAAGAAGATAAAAGAAAGAAATGAGACATGCTTTTTCTATTGCCTGCATCTGTTTTCCTATATAACAATAGATGATTCTATAGGCTATTTAACGTCAAGGGTTCAATACATAACAGGCGTTTTTTTTTTCTGTGACAACTTCCTTTAATCGAGTATGACATTGATCAATAGATTCTTTCGAGTGCATTCACTCAGAAATCCTATACTAGATTTATTCTTATAAAAAATTCTAAAGTTATCGTTTCTAAAGAGAAAGAGATTATAGAAATATTCTTACGGAAAAATATATGGTAATTGTGTCTTTATAGTTTTTCTTCTTTTGTAGTCAGTAGAATTCAGTATAAGGCATAATGAGTCGTAACAAAGCGCCGCTCTAATAATGGAAACGTACTGTTGAAGTGTTACGCGTGCCATCGTGACGTTTGGTAAAGATAGACGACAACGAGCTAACACAAACAGATAGGACGGTCTACACTCATCATCGTCTAGCATGCACATCGAAGTGCGTGCAATGTATATGAAAATGCGCGAGTGTATGAGTGTTTCTGTCGGCAGCGTAATGACGATACCAATTACGTGAGCTTCCTGTTCTCCTTTTATTCAATGGATCTTATGGCAGTAGTCGATCTTCTTCTTCCTCTTCTTTTTCCTTTCCTGTCATTTTTTTCGAGAAAGTCCCATGTTGACGTGAAACCAGTCCTATCATTGTTCGTTCACGCAATATCCTTGATGTGAACCCTTGCCGCACAGCCGTGAATAGTAGGACTGGAAAAAAGAAAGAACTGAGAAAAAAAGAAAGCGGACAAGCTATGTCATAGATTTTGTTGGTATGTTTGAGAGAGTATCTGCAATTGTATGTGTATTTTTCTTTTTGTTGTATAGATTGATTGATAGAGTAAGAAAAAGAAAAATGAACGGAAAATAAATGCGAATGCAAGAAATCATGAGCATGGAGGGATTACTCATTCCATGCTATCAGACCTTGGAAAAAAGAGTGAGCACTCAGTTGATTTTATTTGCATGTGCGTGCATTCACATGAACGGTGTTTCGTTTCCGCTTGGCTTGTTGACATTTTGTTTGCATTTTAAACAGAAAAAAAATCTATTTTTACCACTTTATTATAATATAAATCGAGCATTTTTTATTAGCTCGTGCAGGCTAGGTATCTAATAATGGAAATGCTGCAAAGAATTTTTTAATGGAATGCGTTCACATATTTCTAGAGTATTAATAGTAATGATCTGAACGCAAATTGAACTTGAGAGCGTGTCTACAATTATGTGACTATGGAAAAAGAAAGATATAGTCGATTTGTTCTTTTTGTCTGAACCTACATATATCTATGTGTTAATTTACATGTACTAAATTAGAAATAAATCAACTACTAATACGGTACTCACATTGTTGCGTTGGTCGGTATGGAATTTTCTTTACAAAAAGAAAGTATATTTAGCATTCCTGATAGAGTTTGAAATAGGAAAAAAAAGTAAAGAGATGCTTGAAATAGCGCAGTCATTTAAGTCTATCGGAAAATTTACCGATTTAATATTTACTTTTTTCATCAAAACATAATTATGCGAGAGGGTAAAGCTATGTCGAATGATAGAGACAATAAAGCTCTATTAAGGTATATAATTACTTTTTACATGCTATTCTAGAGTTACCATGTCTATTAAGATTCTATTAAAAAATGTTTGCTTAGGGTATATTTAGCAGTATATGAAAATTTTTTCTAGCGAGAAATATTGTAGAAAATTTGAAGTTCTATTAATTACAAGGTGGATGTAACTGATTTCAATAGCCGAAATCAAGCTGAAATCACTAGGCATAATCGTTATCGGTATGTGCTGCGGAACAGATTAAAATCCAGGAAAATTTCTGGGTCTCCTGTCAAATTTTTAATGGTCATGTAAAAATTTTCAGAATTTTCTTTTCTCTACCAATGTACACACAAACATTTTGAGAACTTAGGATGTACAATGAGATAGATACGAAGATATCAGCTTCCAATTTCGCTTCTGTTAACTTCACTGCAACAAGTATAATGACGCAACGGTATATGAAAAATTGGTAGATCGGTCGATTTGTAGAGGTGGCTTCTAGTCTGCACATAGATTATGTCGACTGGCTCATGGGTGTGGGTATAAGAAAAGAAGAGGCACCCCACACCCACACCCTCATGAGCAATCAGGCTCGATTTTATGTGGGTAGTAGGTATCGTGTTCTTAGGGATGTGCAGTTTCAGTTTACTGATGACTGCCAGCACCGATATACTGAGCACTGAGAACTGACTACACTGCACTGACAACACTGTCGCTCGGTCTAAACTGACACCGAAAACACTGATGCACTGCTACTCACTGAGGCACAGGCCTTCACTGACCACTGACTACACTGATATCGGTGTTCAGTGAAGCACTGATGCACCGATGCTGATTTCAATTAGCTACACTTTATATACAGAACATGATTACATCTTCCGATTGGAAAATATGAATCCACATCAAATTTTGATTGAATAAAAGCATTTCAATGTGATCTTTTCTCTTTTTTCGTATATCTAATTTTATTCAAGGTGACCTTTATTTAGCGAATAAGGGTGATGCCTTTTTTCTATATCGATCAAAGATACGTCATGCTTTTGCAAGTCTTTTCTATCCTTTGTTGTTTTATCGCTTACGCTCTCTATACTTCTGATCGCTCATAATTTCACTCGTACCATTTAACTTTTATTGATTTAACGAAGAAGGGAATTTTATAACCGTCAGCATCGTCTTTCCCATCTTTGCTTTCGATAAATAATGTTACGTAGTTATTGAGGAGAAGAGAAACCAAAGTAGCTGATTGTTTCTTCCTTTCTTCTATCGACCGTTTCGTTCGGTACATCGTATCACGTAGTTGGAAAAGATAGAAGAAAGTGCTGGATTTCTTTTTCTTCGTGCTTCGTTGAATATAAATATCTTCCATTACGACAGGGTTTATTATTCGTGAAATCACATTAATTCTTCTACGAAGATAAGAGTGTGATGCATTGTTTATGATCGATCTAGTCTTTTGCTGCACGTTAGCATGTATTTTAGTAAAGACGAACGTTCCAAACAAAATAAATGTATTGTCCTAAAGCATGCTATGGATTAGTGTTGAAGAAACGTGTGGTTGTGGGTGCGATGAGCATTTTTACCAACAAACATCCACACCCTGTACAATCATATGTGGGTTATATGGATAGCAAAAGGTTATACAGTTGCAACTTTGAAAATTAACTCACAGATTGAAATAAGCTTGGAAAAACTCTTATCTTCTTTAGATTGATTTGGAAGAGACATGAGTTAACGATACAAATTTACCTATTAACTTCTATCCAAAATACAAGAAGGAATGTGAATTTTCAGGAGATCCTAAAAAGAAACCACGAAATTCAATTTGAAACCTTATCATTCTCTTATTGACCAGGATATTTGTATATCTTCTGAATGTTTCTTCAAAAGTATTAATCTACAATGTGCGACAATGACGAAAAATAATGGGTATTTCTAGTAGGACTCAAAAGTAAAAATGTTATTTATGCCTTAAAAATAGAACCAGCTATGAAGTGTTTAGAAGAAATCGCCTCTTTTCTACCGAACCATTGATATACCGAATTGAATTATCAAACAGCTCATGGCTTCGCTATATATTCCACTTTGCTAATCCGCATGAAAAGTAAATTGGGCAAACTTAAGAAAAATCTTAATACCGCAGTTTCCTTGTAGAAAAGTTACGAAACTGATCGGACTAAGCTTAGCCTCAATTACTGTAGTGCAGGTCTGATAATTGAGTTAGAGTTTGACGGGAATTAGAAGTTAGTATAATCCTGTTCGTAACATCTGACTCTTCTTCCAAATAGATGGTAAGTATGGTAAAGCTAATTGTGCAAGTTCAGAAAATAATGCATCGTTTGATCGATAAGGAAAAAATAACTCCTTCCATACAACTGAAGTCCTCATATACATAGTGGATTCTCTTTGAAGTTTCTGAATTTCTCTAGATCAATGAATTTCTTATTACAACACACGGAAACTGGAGTAGAATTTGATGTACGAGCTAGATAATTTTTTTCATGAAAATGAATGAATTCTTTTTTTTTCTGTATGCAGCGAATCGAATCAAGATTTTCTTGCTGATTTCGATCCCTATTGTCAAGCGATACTCAATCGTTAGAAATTGTCAAAAGTTCTTATTTTTAACATTTTTTCAAATAACTACAAAATAATTTTGTAATATCGCGTATTTTTTCTTTTTCTTTTTCATTCTATAGTTTTCTTCGCTAAAACTTATATTTGAATTCAGCGAAATCATTTGAAATCATGAAATCAGTTACTTCCCCCTTGATTAATTATGAATTGAATAACTTCCAAATTTTTATTAATTCCATTAATAAATAATTGCTTTTATAATGATAACGGTATGTATTTTATTAAATAATAGTAAAACAAACTCAACAACAATAATCCTCTACACGTTACAATATTTCTACAAAAACTAATCCATGTATAACATTACTAACTCTGGCTTCTTTTCTGTACAATTATGTTTGAAAAAATACTCTAAACGGTAAAAGAATGACATAAATAATTTAGTAGACGATAAGATAAAACTGATAAATAATTACGCATAAATAATAACGAGAGAGAGAGAGAGAGCAAAAAATTAAACAATAAAATATTAATAGATAATGTCAAAATAAAACAAGAATAAAAAGGCACGATTCAAATAAAATTATTTCAACTTAAAGAGCACGACATTTAGGCGTATTGCCTTCGTAGACACAGGTGGTATCTGGTTGACAATCAATTGGGCACCAACGGTAATTTTTTGGCATTAATTTTTGTTCACAGAGTACACCTGTTGTATCATTTTTACAGAGACATTTATAACCGTCGGCTGTTCCAATACATTGACCATTTTGACCACATGGACTTGGTAAACATGTTCGTGGTCGGTTCACTAAACAAGAGATTGTTATTGTGTCTAATAGAATCTTGCGAAAAACTTACTCTGTTCACATTCTTTGCCATAGTATGGTTTTGGACATGTACATTGTGGGCCATTTTCATTAACAAAACATTCACCGCCATTCATACATGTTACATTAGCACACGGGGCATTGCTCATGGCACGTTTTCGTGCTAATTACGAGAAAGAAAATATTTACTTTTCTGTTTGCCTAAATGTATATTCATCATACCGAATTGACAATAATAACCAGTGAAACTAGTTGGACAATAGCATCGAGCTAAGTTTTGTTGAACAGCACAGCCACCATTATTTTGACATGGATTAGGAAGACATGGATTGACTACTGTAACAACGGGTGTTGGGCATGGGCAAATAACACAGGCACAGACAGGTCGAGGCATTGGTGTAGTAATTAAGGCTTCACAGTTGCTACCTGTAAAGGGGAATGAGCATTGACAGAGATAGCCAGTTGTTGTTGCAACACATGAACCACCGTTGTAACTAGAAAAAAAATCCTGTCATTTTTTTCCTCCATCAAAATATTATTACCATGGGTTAGGTATACAATAGTTACGAAGTTCACAACATGGACCATAATAACTTGGTGTACACGAGCAAACATATGCTAGAGGAAAAAAAGAAGAAGAAAAATTACTTTTCTTCGCAATTTCTCATAGAGTTTCGTCTTACTTGTTGGACCTGTTGGTGTACATGTACCTCCATTAAGACATGGTTGAGAAATGCATGGATTTGGTGGTGGAACCAAAATACCGCATGTAGGTCCGGTGTATTGTGGTGGACATTGACATTGAAAATTGTTACCAATGACGAGACAGATACCTCCGTATAAACATGGATTTGGGTCACAGACACGTATTTCACAACGAAGACCATTGTAACCTGTTGGGCATACACATCGGAAAAGGTTAGGTCCTGCTACTTGACATGTTCCGCCGTTGACACATGGATTTGTATAGCATGGGTTTGTAGCAACTAAATTAATTTCACAGCATACACCACTGAAACCAACGGGACATGAACAGCCAAATGAACCAGGTCGAAGATAACAAGTACCACCATTTTGACTAAAGAAATAAGCATATATAAGAAAAAAATATTCAATAGGAAATTTCTTTACCATGGATTTGGTTGACATTGATTTGGTGCTGCTGGAGCAAGAACGACAGCTACAACACAAACGATAAATTATTATCTTTAAACGAAAGAATCAATAAAATCTACAGCTAAAATATTAATTTCTAACTCTAGTTTTAATACCCGTATTAGTTTTGACAATAACTAATAATGAGACCGCCTATAGATTGTCATTGATAGTCAATTAATTACTATTCATGTATAAGTGTTTTCCCGAATAATGAAACAAGGATTACTCATACCACAACATGGATTCGTTGAAATATCTTTGAAAAAGGAATTATACACAAGTGATGTCTCAATTTCTATTTCTCTCAAACGTAAACTACCTGAAATATCACATAAGATTCCTGTATAGCCTGTTCGACAGACGCAACGAAAGCCTCCGCCAGGTACATTTAAACAAGCGCCTCCGTTGACACAAGGATTTACTGAGCATGGTTGATTAGGCGAAATTGTAGTCGTAACATCTGAAAAACTTTGATCATTTTAAAACAGGCTATGTCTCGCTCGATAATACGAATTGTCAAGTATTACCAGGATAACTACATAGAGATCCAACAAATCCCGGTAGACAAGTACAATTAATCGTATTCGGAAAGATTTCTGTACAAATTCCACCATTATCACATGGATTTGGATTACATCCTTCTCGTGTAGATATAAGAAACTCTTTATTTGAAATAGAAGATGAGAAGAATAATTTCGTAGAAGATTGATTTCATTTGATCTTACGTGCTACTTGACATTGAACGCCACTATAACCAGTTGGACATTCGCAACTAACTGTTTGAGAGACAATAACACATTGACCTTGATTTTTACAATATGATCCACAACCGAATCCTTTTTGTGAGCGAGCAGCTATATCTTTGGATGCTACGTCTTTTTCTGATAGTATTTCAAGTGCATTTACATCTGCTTCAATGGTTGGATATTCATCGTCAGTTACATTAACATCGTGTTGAATAGATACTTCTGAAACAAATAAACAAAATTCGTTATAGATACTTTTTGTCTTGTTGTTTTATTCATAACTTACCAACTCGTTCTTTTGGATCATCACAATCGTTAACTAAACTCTTATCGACACAACTTTTTGATTTCGGTGAATAGAGTGTGCCACTAGTACATGTAAATAAAACTCGTACATTACGAAAACAACGAACAAATCGTGAACAATTTGAAATATCGCCAACAAGATCGCGACATTCTGGTCCTTTATTAAATAATTCAAAAGAAGTTTTCTTTCTTTTTTCAAAAACTTACGTTTTGAGTTCACATCAGCAAGTGTCACTTGTATAGCGAGATAAACAACAGCGACAATTAATAATCGATTCATTTCTCTCGACTTTGTATTGTTATAGTTATAAAAAACTGATCGAACACCGGGCTATTGAAATAACGATGTTATTATGTGTAAGTTTTCTAAATCGACTAAACAGTGAGAAGATGAAGTTTTTGTGAGTTTGTCGTCACTATTTAAATTCATCTCCCTGTTAGCTCGACATTTTAATATACATGCGAGAAAATGTCACATTGCTTTAAACACCCTTCAAAATTAAACCATTATACGCACGTATGTACTTGTTTTACAAACAAGCGAATTGCCAGCACGTCAATGATATACGTCATAATAATAGTAAATTTATCAATGCCAAATGTGTGATTTAACACATTTCGTTTTTTTTCATTTCTTTGAAGGCTACATCATATTTTTTATTGCATTATGTATTTTCCCCACCTTGAACATTATCACGTACGAGACAGAACTCGTCGGTCTTTTTTTTTATTCTTTTGTTATAATCTCAACACAAATGTGTATATCCTTTTTTTTCTCTCTCTCTCTCTTGTCTGTGCATTTAGTTCATGGCCAATCTATGTGATTTGGGTTTTCAAAGGTTGCACCGAGAGATATTCAAAATAAAATATTAGTTAAGGAGAAGGTAAATTACATTCATTTTCTAAATAAAGATCATCATTATGACATAGATCCGATTTTTTGAAAAGATGAATAACCATAATGGTCATGTAAGTTAGCGTAGTTGAAAAGCCAAATGAAAGTATCAGAATGACGGCGATGGTCTATTTTATTGGAAATGAAGGTATTTATAAATTGAATAATTATCGGAGATCATCTTAATTAGCAGTCTAAAGATCAAAACGTTAAGGGAAGAGCAAAAGAAATTTTACTGTTTCTAAATCCTTTTAGGTTAATCAGATTTTTGTAAGACTGAAGCACATATGTCAAACTTGAAACTTGAATTCAGTTGAAACTTGAATTCAACTTTTAGACCAATAGCATTCTGAAGAATCGTGACTCACACATATATCGCTATGAGTTGAAAATTGAAATTTTCTATTTTCAACTGAATTCAAGTTTCAAGTTTGACACTACTGAACTGAAGAGACTTTTTCATTCTGAAAAAAATTTAGCACTGACGTATTTACAGAAATCTATTATCATTGATCTGTACTAAATTAGGGTATTCTGCAATACAACGATTGACAGGTGCCAGTGACTTGAGAATGTTCTTTCATGTTAATCCCATAAAAGGTTCAAGTTAGGTGGCTGCGATAGGAAAGGGTATCGCTAAACTACTTGTCATGTTTCTTTGTTGCACGTAGATGACATATGAAAGTCAAGAGCACTCACCGCTATGTAAACTCGCACATCAGCTGTATGAACCGATCAATATGGCCCTAATAAATAGTAGGTAGTACGCATATTTTGGTAAATTTAATATATATTTATTCTATGATTTTTATTTTATTTACCAAATAAAAATTTGGAATTTTTCCGTATCATTAAAAAAACAAAAAAAAATTGTTGTCCTATAGCTTTTCACAATTAACGATATGTAGTACAGTAAAAAATATTTATTCGTATTTGAAAGAAATGCTCTAATCGTCTTTTTTGTCTGTGACTGCTTTCTGATTGTCGTCGGGCGTTACTGGCGGCGATGACGCATCGTCATCATCTTCCTCTTCATTTTGTCCAATATTTTGATCATCTGTTATTATTTCATAGGAATAATCTGGATCATTCATCGTTTCATTCGGCAAACAACATAGACAATAGCATACAATTGACAAAACCGATGCTGGAAGTCCAATAATAAGCATTGAGAGAAATGGCGATTCAGTAAACATAGCCATCAGCGTTCGAGATAATTCCCAAAATGGACGAAATAAACGTTTTGCCAATGTATTACCTGTTTGACTGATAATTTGTGTATGATTCAAAAGCACATAATCAAGAATCGACTCTACGTCAATCGTTTTACCATCCGTAGATGACAAAGGATGCATACCATATTTACGCTGCACACTATCATAGAGAAATAAAAGTGGTCCTTCGACTGCCCATACAGCTAGGAAAAAAAAGTTTAAATTTAAAAAATCTAATTTGAAAGAAAAAAAGAGTTTAACATACCAATATTACTAAGTAAATCAAGATCATTCGACCATGCAAATTGGAATGTTTGATGAATGACGGGAATATGATTAATCAAATAGTTATGAATTCGAGATTTGAGTTCACTACTAAAAGAATTCGAGATTTTATTCTACATGCGAATATTGCCCTGGAATACTCATAATAATTTTCTCTCTTTCCTAACTCAAACGGTCGCGGCACTTTATGAGCGAACAGTTTTCTTTTTCTTACTTTTTTTGATTTGAACTAGTAGCTTCTGGTGATTCATCAAATCCATAGATAACAATTATTTTCTTTGTTAAAACTAAATCATACATATTTCCGGCAGCAACTTGTGGGAAGGTAGCCACCTTTTCTTTGACAATAAAGTCTTCTATACTATTATTATAATCATCGGGTTTATATAAATAAACTCCTTCATTTTTAACAGCAAATATTTGTGATTCATCATCGGATTTATAATTCGAAAAAAATGTTTCTTGAACAATTGATTCATTTGTTGCATAGAAATAAGCTTGACTTAGATAACGATTAATAATATTATTATATTCTTTTACTAGTTGATCATCTTCAGATACCATTGTTGTTGTCACAAGTAAAAAGAAAACGTCATGTTCATTGCGTATTTCATTAAATTTATCAACCGATGATATCCATCTTAATGATGGTCCATTGACGCGTTTTAAAAATTTGAGTACCGCTGATTTTGTTCGTTCATTTTCATACGAAATTATTTGTGAGCCACGAATAAATTTAACTGTCGGAAAACCACGTATATCATAATGATTAGCAGCGTCCGAATAGATAGTTGCATCAATGCGTACAATACGAATATTTTTAAATTCATCAACAGTTGCCGACAATTCGTTGACTTCTTTAGCAATTTCTTCATAAACAGGTTCAAAATGTCGACAATGTCCGCACCTAAATAAAATAGATAACAATTTTCTTTTCCTTTTCACAGAAACTCAAAACAAACCATGGGGCATGAAATTTTATCAAATAACCAGTTGATGGATTGCTTTGGATTTCGTCGACAATGGACGAATCAACATCAACTGCCCATTTTGCATTAATACCACTGGCACATTGTACAATCAATATTGCATAAAAAATAAATAACATTATTTTTTTTTCTTAAATCTAGAAAAGCAAAATCTTGATGAGCCTGTATTTAGCATCTCTAGTTATATAATCGACTCGGTGCGTACGTGAAATAGGTAAACATTTTTCTAGTCGCAAGCAGTAGCAGTACTCTCTGCATTGAATATATTATTACTCATAACTCCCTAGTCGAACTTTTTTTTTGCAAGCGCTTGCAATTCTTGATCAAGAAAATCAAGAACTATGGACCCATCTTGAGCTTAAGTCTTGACAAGCGTATCAATAAAAAAGTTCGACTAGGAGCTATATCATCCGATAATTTCAAAACAAGATATTATTTTTGCATGATGTTAAGTTCTACTATCAAAAATTTTCAGATATCTAGAAAACAAAAATTATTTCAGTGCGAAAAGGGTCTGTTTTACAGTTAAACAAAAACAAACGTAGTTGAATGATTCACTACAAACATATACACACACAAAACGACGACGCACATCACAGATTATCCTATTTTATTTGTCTTAGATAGTTTTAGTTGTAACGATTAGAATTTTTTATTTCTCGTTGGTAAAATTGATTCTTGAACTGAACGCATGAATGCCAAAAGTCCAACTTTTTTTGCTCGTTTCTTAAAATAATTCGTAACAACATCACCGCCACTATTAATAATTGTATCATCGTTATAACGATCACGTTGTGTGTCAGCATATTGTGGTAGTACATAATCGTTAGCTGATAAAGATAATACGAAACAAAATGGGACGATCCAAACGAAAATTGTGAAATAAGCAAGAATTTCAGGAAACGGATAATAGTAGTTATTAAAAAATGAAAATGCAAAATAATGGTGGATAATTAATAGAACCATAGAAAATAGAAATGCTGGTGATAGAAAACCAATAAATGGAAAATCTCCCAGAATAAAAAAATACATTATATTTGATAGAACTCCAATGGAACATAGTGTCCATGTAAATTGTGTTTCTAATACAAGAAGAAGAATATTCAGCACTGTAACAGTTATAAGAATAAAATGAATGAAGCGTTTAGCAACAGTGGTATATTCTTCAATAAGTTCAGCAACATAATACATTCCGGCCGCCACTGAGATCGTTAAACATATAGCAATTATAATAAATGCTATCCATGATAGTGCATACATAAACCACATCGTTATTTGATTGAAATCTTTTGCGTTGTTTATACCAGTAGGTTTTCAGTTACAAAATCTAGAAAAATATTGACGTGACACAGTAAACTGAACAATTTTTCCGGATGCTACGACGTACAATGAAAACGACGTAGACGATATGCTTTCATCAATCCGATTAGCGATGTGTAGATGGCGGTAGCATCAATGGAAACATCATAGGACAATATATATGATATAATAGTCATGCTTGAATGATTTAGACATATTTCTTGTGTTACATCTTCTTATAACGACATAATATATTCAACTAAAGAAATAAATGAGTTGATGAAACATAAATGACTATTTCATTCGCTGATATACATCAAGAAGAAAAACGACAAAAATAGTTTTTCTAATGAAATACGATGCATTATATCATAGGCGGAAAAATAAAACAGCCACCTGTGTTGTTTTTTCAAGGTTGAAATTGAGCTTACAGCAAATATTCTGTCTTTGTCGTTTGTGAAAATTTCTTAAATCAATTGCAATTTTGATGACATAGCAAAGGACTGAATATAATTATAACATTGAGTCCAACGATACTTTTAAATCAGCAACTTCATAGTGGAAATTCTGTGAGCTTGGTCTTTCGTTGCTTAATTTTTTCTATCACTAAATAATTATATTTGCATGGCTGATTGAAGAATTACACCATAACTCAAGACAAAGTCACTTGACTTTCGTATTCGATCTCTGAAAAAGTTTTATCATCTTTTTTTTTTAAATTAAAAACATGCATTAGTGATTGAGTGTTTTTCTTTTCTTGATGATACTACTTCGAAAGAGTCTTCATCGTAAACGAAGTTATTAACTATGTGCGTGATGTTATGGAATTTTTTTTTCTGTCTACAGTGCATGACAATTTGAAAAACCAGGAGAATACACTGTTGATATTATGAAGTAATCATGCTTGACTAATTCGATCGTTTTGTCATTGAAAATCAATTTGATTTATCTCTCCAGTGACACTATTACAATTTTAGTTGATTTTGTTCGCCACATGAATGCCAATTGATATTGCTCAAACGACTACATTGAGTTTAATCTGAGAAAGTACGAACCTATAGCGTTAAGTATTTTGAATGATAAATATGAGCCGTCAAAAATATTTATCAATATGAAGAAGGTCGATACGTATTTTCATGGTCAACAAAATGAAATCTTGCTGTTATTTACTACTAATATCTCCCACCAATAACCGAGGGACATAAAGAGACAATAAATAAACTTACTCTGCTTATATGACCCTCGATTATTGACGAAAGCAATTAACCGTAAACATAAGCAATGTTTCATTTTGTCGGTCACAAAAACATATTTCGACCTTCATTATTAGTTTTTGCTTTCATGATTACGAAAGAATATTTCAAAAAAAAAGCTACTTCTACTAATATCTAATCAATGTAATTTATTTCTGTCAAATATTGATTCAGGTGTTACAATGAATTTTTCTGCGCAATAAAGAAGTCAATAAATTATACTCGACATATGAACGAAGATAATTCGAATTATGTGTTTCTATTGAAGTGCCAGAATTCGTCGATATATTTTAACATTATCTCATTAGGTTAAAGCTTTCATGGAAACATGATTTGGTTCCTGCCTTGTGACGACATATGACGTATGGGACGCAAAAAGTCATGGAACAAATATCAACCCTTCCTATTTATCTCTGCAAGAAAAAATGTTTTTTTGCTTTCTGCCTTTCAAACTATTTTTACACATTTATGAACAAAGTGACCTAGGAGATTTTAACGATCAATCATCCAACAAATATTGCTTATCTGCCTAACTAATTATTACCCGGGTACAACAAAGGTGACTTTAAAATTAGAATTCGCGCACAATAAAGAAATCTGTTAAATGAAAATGATAAGTTTCAACCGATGTCTTTGTTTTTGCCAGCTGCTTCATAACCTCACCCATAATTTTAAATTAATTCGATACAATATTCATACATTTGCAATTTAAATATCCTTGTATGTTACAGAATTTTTAATTATTTTCTTGCACATATATTATTCTTCCGTATTCGGCAGTAGTACATTTTTCTATTAGAAAATAAAATTGAAACGAAGGCCATTTTAGTTTGTTGTTTTACTCATAATAAATGCATGATTGCGTTTTTGTACCCGCGTATTTAAAGAAGCGATGCACGCAGATCAAGCGACGAGTTATACTCTAGTTAATTAAGAACTTGTGATATCAACTAGTTCGAATTGCGCAATAGTTGTCTGTGACGTTAAAGTTAATTGTATTAAATGAATACGAACTAAACTTAGAACTGCGACAGGAGAATGTTTCAAATATTAATGTCACGGACGATAGCAATCATCCAAAGCAAAATATTAACCATTATCTGGTGCAGTTTCGATCAATTGTAGCTTGCTTTAATAAAATAGAGAAGTCTCTTATCAAGATTTATAAGGTGACCAAGCAAATCAGTGTTTTATTTTTTTACTTAATATCAAAGATAGCCATCCTTACATATGCATATTTGATACACTATCTGTATCTGGAGAAATAGCAATTGCATTGAAAATAAAAATTTAGCGCTGTTTAGTGAATACTTCATATACATTGCTTGTTTAGGCTTTTATTGAAGAAATCGTTGTATCGTCTAAAATTTGGCATGGGAAATACGTCGGGGAATTGTAATCTTATATACAAGGCACGGGAAGAAATAAATACTCAGTTGAATAAAACTTTTTAATTCTGTCTCTCCAATATTCTTGATTGAATATTGTAGCCGCTAATTCGCCTAAGTAGATGATGATGATGATATTAATGTTCTTCTTCTTATTAGTCCATGTGTACGTGCCTGACGGAACTAATTGCTATTTGAGAAGAAACATGATAGGTACCAGATTAAAGGTAGTTGTTATTACTGTTGTTGTTGTAGTAATTAATTAAAGAAAGGCTTTTGTTCACCAAATGATATTGATGAATTACCAGTAGGGTTTTTGATTTATCACTGAGTTCTTCCAAGAAAGTTTTACTGCATCATAAAGAATGTACGATCAACTGTCTAGTGGTTAACAATCGACCTCATCTCCTTGACCTTAGTGTGCGCATTCCAGACCGTGAACTTCTGGAAACTATGTCTGTCTGTCGACTGGCTTCAGTGATCTGTCGTGTTTAGCTTTCTTATTCGACATACCAATAATAATATGTGATGATGATTGAGCGTGTAAGCAGAAAAATTGTTGTGTATCAATATGAAATTGCCTATTGCATTCTGACAAGATTAATATGTGTCAAAGAAAGAGAGAGAGAGAGAGACAGAAGAAACAAATGAATTGATGAAAAATCATATAGAATAATAGAAATATGCGAATAGATAAAAAAACGTCATAGCTAATTTGTCAGAGGTAAAGCTGATCTAGTATATATTTTCATGTTGACATTTTCTAATGCAAAGATCAAGATTCTAAATATAAGAAAATTACTTAAAACGCTTTTCTTAGATACGAGATCGATAAAATAAAACTTCGAAATGTTCTAAAATTCAGATCATTATCTTTACAATGTGTGAAATATAATAGAAAGAGATTTTTCTTTTCTAACAAACACTTTTCAATTTTTATCTCATCACATCAAATGTGCGTACAGAAGTGTTTCTTGGCGTATGCGCAATTTCGAACTGATTGAGTCGTGTTACAAGCATCGAATTTTTATGAGATTATAATATGAACAAGTAGATTCGACAGATGTCGTTCAACTACAATTCTTACTCACTATATAACAAGGATTCGTTCGCTCTTCACAAAACAATCATGAAATGTTGTTGTTATTATTTTTTTACTACGATTGAAAGACACCATCGCTGAGTAAGAAACACTTCAATATCATAATTTTAGTTTCTATATTACTCATCTATTTATCCATCGCGTTGCTATTTGCATTTCTGACGTATGTTCACACTATTAATACAACCCTCTTTCCCCTTGGTCGTACTCTGCTTTTTTTTTACTTCTCTCGTTTTTTTATATCAATAATTGAAGAGGAGTAGCATGTGTTTGACGACATAAGCAGAGGAAAAAAAATACAAAAGAGGCCTCTTTTGACGAACTGTAAAATATCCTTGTGCGTCTGCGCCATAAATTGCTTCGGTTAAAAATAATTAAAATTAAAGCTTTCTTGTAAATTAATTTTTATGTACTTTTGCATCGATTCATATTGTTAAAAATGACTTTTGTCACCGAGATTCACTCTCGGTTCGTTTTGCTTCTTACTTTTATCTTCGTTTGAGAATATACGTTTTTCGTTATTCTTTATTATTTTTGTCGTTAGCATTTACATAACAACAAAAAAGGTAAGTTATTACTAAACGAGACAAAAACAAGTGAAATTTCTTCAAGAAGCAGAAAAAAAAATCTTTCTATTTTTTTTAAGAACCAAGAGTGAAAACTAATTGTTCAGAAAATAGGTACTGCAAAAAGAAATTAGTCTTTTTTTCTCTCTGAATAATTAGCTAATAGAGAAAGAAATCTTTCGTTCGTTGTCTTCAGATATAGCTTTAAAGTTGTTTTTTTTTTGCTTTCCTATGATTAATCAAGATAATCCTCTATTTGATATTAGCTTTCTGTCTGCTAAACACTAAAGAGAACAATTACGGTCGATTGAGACATTGGACAAATAACACATAGAGACTCGTTTAACGTTTTACTAGGCTGATTTTTAGTTCCATTTTGAACTTAAAAATATGTCAATACCATTTTTAATTATTATAAATAGAAAAATCTGATGAATTTGTACACCCCGTCTTATTGATTTACATTCATTATGTTAACTTTCCTTTTTCTTTATGAGTACTATGACTACAAGAAATGTTTGTCTGTTTTTGTCTCTCTCTCTCTCTCTCCTCCTCTTTTAAAAAAGAAACCATTCTCCAGTGTAACGTCTTCCGGTAGGTTTATATATCTATGTTGTCCTACAAAATTGCTCAATGTAACATGTCGTTATAATGAAAAAAAAAGGAAGAAGCTAACTGTTCGATCGTTAAACGAGCATGAGCGCAATGTATGTGATACTTTTTCTTTTTCGTTTTTCTTGTATTACTCATACAAGAAAAAGTGGTTTCATTTTCGTTTGAATCATACTGATCGATAGTGACAAGCAATGACGCAAAAGAAATAAAAGCAAAGAAAATAATTCGTGTTTTAGATTATTATTTTTTTCCTCTGCTACACTTAATTCAATTCTTGTTGTGTAGCCATCAGTGAATATGTTGATTATATAACTCGACGAAAGATACTCGTGTCAGTGTTTGGATTTGTTAACCAATGAATAAAATACCGTTTCTTAGAAAGAAAAAAGTTGAAGGTTTGTCAAATAAAAATATTATTGAATGAAGAAATCAATATCTTTTTTTTTGTTTTTTGTTAGAGAAAAGTCGGAAAATTCGAGCCAACAATCAAGATGCCAATGCTGCCAAAGAATTTGCTGTAGGTTTAATCGAGAGGGATCACAATCGATTTCGTTAAGTTTTTATTCGTATAGGGCAATCAAATATCGACATCAAAATATAATTTATTGACATTTTTGCCTAAGAACCTTTTCGAACAATTTCGTCGATTAGCTAATGCTTATTTTTTATTTCTTCTATGTTTGCAAGTAAAAACAAATAACTTTTGTCTTTTTACTTTTGTATTCATTAATTTTTTTTGTTTAGCTTATTCCACAAATTAGTTCATTAGCACCTGTTACAACTATTTTACCACTTGTATTTGTCTTATCATTAACTGCAATAAAAGACGCCAGTGACGATATCGTATGAGAATTTCGCTGGTTGTTGATTTCAAGTTTTTCGTTTTTCATAGGCAAGGCATCGAAGTGATAGTCAAGTAAATAATCGTGAAACTAAAACAGTAGTTGGAGGTGAATTAGTAACGAAAAAATGGAAAGATATTCAAGTCGGTGATATGGTGCGATTAGAAAATAATGAATTTGTCACTGTAAGACTTGAAGAACGTAGAGAAACAAAACGAGCATTTTGTTTTTATCTAGGCTGATATTGTGCTTATTTCAACAAGTCTCGATAATGGTCTTTGTTTTATTGAAACAGCAGAACTAGATGGCGAAACCAATCTTAAAGTGCGACAAGCTTTAGAAGAAACATGTGGCCTTGTAGACCATATCGATGAATTGTCTAGGTTTGATGGTAGGTTAAATATTGTATATGAATGTTAGATTTTGGTTCAATGCTGTTTTCTTTTAGCGGAAATTGAATATGAAGCACCGAATAATAATCTTGGACGATTTGAAGGAAATTTAATGTGGAAAGGAAAAACATTACCGTTAAAAAATGATCATATACTTTTACGTGGCACAAGATTGAGAAATACTCCGTGGGCTTTTGGAAGTAAGATTATTTTGAGAGAAAAAAACAGTATTTTTGAACATATTTTCATTGAAAATTTCAGTTGTCTGTTATGCTGGGCCAGATACGAAATTAATGAAAAATAGTGGAAAAGCAAAATTCAAACGAACTAAAATTGATCATTTACTCAATCGAATCATTCTCGGTGTAAGAATTTTAATTTTCTTATGTTATTTTTTTTCCAACGAAATTTTTTTTTCTCTTCTATTTAGATCTTTCTCTTTTTGTTAATCATGTGTGCAATAATGACAATCTGTTGTGGTTTCTGGGAATCATTTGTTGGCTTTGATTTTAGCATATATTTACCATGGGAAACATACGTATCTGATGATCAACAAATTGGTGCACTCGAAATAAGTTTACTAGTATTTTTATCATATATTATTATTTTAAATACTGTGGTGCCAATATCACTCTATGTCAGTGTTGAATTTATACGTTTGTTACAATCGAAATGGATTGATTGGGACATGAAAATGTATTATGAACCGAATAATGTACCAGCACAAGCTCGTACAACAACGTTAAATGAAGAGCTGGGACAAATCGAATATATTTTTTCGGACAAAACCGGAACATTGACGCAGGTAATGATATTATGTTTAAATAGTTTTTTTTACAAAAATGACTAATCATAATATTTAGTATATCGAAAATTGTGAGTTATTCACGAGGGAATGTATGCATCTGTCGAGCTTTGCTCTCTCTCTCTCTCTGTGTGCAATCCATCTAACTTGAATTATTTTTATTTTGGCAGGGAATTTAATCTATATGATAAGAAAAATACATTTGTCTGACATCAAATGTCTTAAATAATGTAGTGATCTTACAATTAATCTGTAGGCAAAAATAGAGTAAAATAAACGATTCAGAAGTATACATGTCGAAAAGAAAACCTATAATATTGTCGTAGTCTATAGAACAGTGTTCTGTATTTGATGAATAACATGATTCTATATCACTGCACAAAAGCAAATTTAAGTCAATAGAGCGATGAAATAACCAACAGAGGAAGCGGAAGGCTTCTGGCAATATTGTTTTAGTTCAAAAAATTATGTAACAAGAAACAATGTTCAAGTTAATTTTGTTTGTCTAGATATAAAGTGAAGTTACATAAAAAGACAGGATGTCTATATTTTTGTTTCACTATGTGTTACAATGTGAAGGTAAGATAATAATTATTTTTCGCTTTTATTACTGGTCGGAGAGTACGTGTTCCAAAAATTTGTTTTCGTCTATTCGTAACATTTCATAAATAATGTTGGTTCATTAACGTAAAATATTGCAATCAAATTAAAAAATATGCCGTCTAGATACGAGATTAAATACTCAAGAACACTCTTAAAAAGTAGCATACCATTTTTGTTTTGACGCAAAAACATTTTCGTAGATACTATTGGCTAATTGTTTTAGTTAATTAATCAAATTTATTTTTGTATTGACAGAATATAATGACGTTCAATAAATGTTCAGTACGAGGAAAGCTCTATGGGTATGTTATGGATGAAGCTGGCAATGAAATACAAGATCTTGAAGTAAGATTTTTTTTTTTCGCAGTGAGATAAACTTCCATGAATTTTAAATGTAGAAATTAAGATCCATTGAATTCGAAGAGAAAGATGATGATTTCGAATGGTATGATCAAAAATTAATGGACGCTATAAAAGGAAATGATCCTGATGTATATGAATTTTTTACATTGCTCTCAATATGTCATACAGTTATGACCGAAGTGAAAGATGGAAAGATTGTTTATCAAGCTCAATCGCCTGATGAAAATGCTCTTGTCTCGGCATCGCGTACATTCGGCTTTGCATATCTTGTAAGTATCCGAAAATTTCCCGACAAATGACGATCATACATTGCCTCGTTTGGGTTTTTTAAGGGTCGTACTCAAAGTAGTATTACAGTTCGTCTTCCAACTAAAGAAGAAACTTATGAAATATTGCATATATTGGATTTTGATAATGATCGTAAAAGAATGTCGGTGAGTAGACACGATAGTTTCCATAGAAAATCTTATTAGCCGTTTGTTTCATTTCATAGGTTATCATTAAAAGAGCTGGAAAAATTATGTTATACTGTAAAGGTGCTGATTCAAAAATTAAAGAACGTCTGGATCCATCAGAAAAAAATATAATGGCAGAAACCGATGAACATTTAAATGTAAATTTCTCGTTAGAATTACCCAAATTTGAATTTTCGTTTGTTTTTTAGAAATTTGCCACGGATGGTTTACGTACACTTTGTTTGGCATATAAAGAATTAAATCAAAGTGAATACGCTAGATGGGCGGAAAAATTAGCCAAAGCAAAGTATGTTATTCAACACTTCTAATTGAAAGGTTTTAGTCTTCTTAAAATATCCTGCATAGAAAGTTAGCATCAAACAGAAGAAACCTCAGTTAAAACTACCATTAGAATATTTATGAAGCAGAAAATAATAAGAACATGACCTACATAAACAGCATCGGCATGTTTTTATATACATCGAAATGCCAAATGTATATCATAGTACTTCTATGGCGTTTATGATGGTTGATATTTGACTATTTTTTGCTTTGATACGGCACTGAACGCATAGATAAATGTTTTAATAATAAAATCCAGTGTAGATTATACTCGTCAGATAGGATAATTTCGAGTCTATAGTAATTTCACTCCCTTGACTTTCATCTTTAGTACAAGTATGGAAAAACGAGAAGAGAAAATGAACGATACTTATGAAGAAATCGAACAAAATCTTAAACTACTTGGTGCTACAGCTATCGAGGATAAATTACAAGATGGTGTACCGCAATGCATTGAACGTTTAGCACGTGCTGGCATTAAAATTTGGGTTTTAACTGGTGATAAAGTTGGTAAGTTGAATTTTCTTTTGTTCAATCGATCTATGTTTCGATCGCACTTTATCGTTATCTTAGAAACTGCGTATAATATTGGTTTGTCATGTCGTTTATTAACGAATGATATGGAAATTCAGGTTATTGAAGAAGATACTGAAGATGGTGTCGAAAAAAAATTACAAGAAGTTCGAGAAGAAATGATTCATAAAATTGAACAGTTATTTGGTGTTGAAATAGAGGATAGACGAAAACGACTTGACTGGAAAGACTGGGGAATTGACGTAATGAAATTCGATCAATACAGAAAAGACAGTGCTAGTGGCGGAAAAGGGCAACGTCAAAATGGTCATGCAGCAGTAACAACAGCTGATGCGAGTCCACAAGAACGTGAACTATTCGAAGGCTTCGGTTTATTAGTCACAGGTCAAGCGTTAGCATATGCATTGAATGAAAAATTAAAAATGAAATTTCTTGAATTGGGTACAATGTGTAAAGCTGTTGTTTGTTGCCGTGTGACACCTTTACAAAAAGCTCAAGTTGTTGAATTGGTAATGCAAAATGAAAAGAAAATTACTTTAGCTATTGGCGATGGTGCTAATGATGTGTCAATGATTCAAAGTAGATTTAAAAAAACACGCTTATTTTTGTGTCATCCAAGAAAATTTAATCATAATATTTTTTTTCCGTTATTATAGAAGCACATATTGGTGTTGGTATTAGTGGGCAAGAAGGTCGACAAGCCGTTTTAGCAAGTGATTATAGTTTTGGACAATTTCGTTTTCTTGAAAGATTACTACTCGTCCATGGCCGTTGGTCTTATTTGCGAATTTCAAAATTTCTACGTTATTTCTTCTATAAAAATTTTGCATTTACCTTATGTCATTTTTGGTTTGGATTTTTTTCGGGTTTTTCAGCTCAAGTAAGTTATTTAGAATAAAAAGTTTTAAAACAAAAATTTACTCATTTCCTTATTATTAGACGTTATATGATCCATTCTTCGTGGCAACATACAACGTTTTCTTTTCTTCACTACCTGTTCTGGCATTAGGTGTCTTTGATCAGGTTTGTCGTATTTCGAATTTTTGTGTTAGAATCTTGAATTTTGCTATTCTTTTTCAGGATGTGAGTGCTGATCATTCGTTAAGTAAACCTCATTTGTAAGTTGATTGAGATTTTTAATAAGTTAAAAATTTGTTTTATTCTATTTTAAGATATGCACCTGGTCAAAATAATGAATTTTTCAATAAGAAAATCTTTGCTGAAAGTGTTATACACGGCATATTGACATCATGTATTATATTTTTTGTACCATATCTGTCCGTATCGAACAGTACGCGGCCAGGCGGAATGACTCAAGCTGATTTACAATCCTTTGGTTTTATTGTTGCAACAGTTATGTCTATTATTGTTAATTTAGAAAATGCATTAGAAACATGGTATTGGACGGGTTTATATCATTTTGTTCTATGGGGCACAATAGTTGTACATTTTCTATTTCATTTTGCATTGTATTCAACCATAATTTGGAAAATTTTTAATACAAATTATGCATATGTCGGAGTTGCACAGGCTGTTTTGTCAACAGGCAATTTTTGGTTTACATTGCTTCTTACATGTGCCATATTATTATTACCGGTATTTTGTCGAGAGTATGTAGATTTTAAGAAATTGAAAAGAACTCTAGATCATTGACTTTTTTTTATTTGAAGATTTTTCCGTATGCGATTCATACCCAATAAAACTGATCGGGCTCGATTAAACCAGAAATTTCGTACTGAAGAAAAAGCAGCATTTGTTGCACATATTCAACATAAACTTCGTCAAAGTAAACGATCGATTCGATCAGGTTATGCGTTTTCACAACAAGCTGGTTGGGGTCCATTGATAACATCTGGACGAATGCAATCGCAGTCTATTACATATACTCGTCAACCAACACAGACTACGAACGTAAGTAAAATTTTAATTTGTTCTGATTTTTTTCTCTATCCCGTAGATTTATTTTTCCCATGTCCCTGTGTAGAGAAAATCTGAATTTTTTTTGGCACTTGTTTTCTTTCTTTTTTCTTGTATTTTTGTCATGATTGATTATTAGACATCTCTCTTGTCTAGTTAAGAAACAGAGTACACCCAATTCTCAACGATGATTTATCAAATAATCTACCCACCAGTACGACAAGCAAAACAACAAACAGGAGAAAATAATATTTGAAGTAAGAGAGAACAAATATAAATTGAGTGAACTGCCTTCGAATGAGTTTATACTGTCCACTATACATTGTAATCATGCTATTCCTTACTAAAATTTGAGTGTGTCTACTGAACATCAAGAATAAATATTTTGTTTCATTGTTGCACTTTTGCTTTTCCTTCTTCTTGTTTCCCTGAAAAGTTTGTTATTTAATAATGTTGCCAACAGATTAAATAATATTTCTTCTACCTATTTGAAAGTGATTCATCAACCAATTGTGTCTGGCATATTGAAATTCGTTCAGACATTTTGATCAATAATAATAATTGCTCGTGGCTACTCGTCTAATATTTTTCATCCAGAAAATTATAAAAATTTCTATAGTAGCTCAACAAAATACTACTTGTGTCGCCATAATTGAATTGAGATTATTCAATGACGGCGACCAATGATCAACGCCATCGTGATATTGACCAATGGGCGAAAATTTCTTTGAGCATGCGTTCGACGATTGCTTGCCTAGGCAAATGTGAATCATACATTATATATCTTTGTTGTTATATTTGCTATATTCGACTACTTTTTCACGGCAGTGTTTTTCTACGTACCTGACTTTTCATTACACGGTTTTTGCTTGCATTTTTGTTTAAAAAAAAACAACATAACAATTTTTTTTAAACAATATAAAATATATATTTTCTGTGCTTTTGTCAACTTATCTAGAATGTGATTCAAACGCGATTTTAATCTCGAATAAAATATTTCAACTACGAGAATGATTATCTTGTAAGACTTTTTATTTGCACGAACCCTTTGCATGCTTCACGTAACCCTTATTAACTTTATGATTTATTTAGTCATATTAACTTTTCTTTATTTCTTTATCTGTTTATTATTCATTTTTATCTTTTGTTTAGACAACAATGCCAAAATATCATAAGAACAGAAAAACCCATATACTCAATGAGTTATCGCCAAAGAATCTTCTTCAACAGGATAAAAATCATCCATCCAATGCAGAGCTCGTTCGTGTTACTCATTTACGACCTTCATAACTATATTCGCCGTCCACAAATCAATCTATGTTATTTATTCATTGTTATTTCATTTTATAGATAAAAATATTTAAGAAAAAATATTCCTTTATGGATTTACTTTATGTAAATCTTTGCGTTATTTTTTTCTTTTGAACAAAAAAAGAGATTTATATTCTTTCTTGTTTTCATTTGTACGATAATGGTGACGGATAAAAATGCTGCTTTGTTCTGTTTTTTAATTTATTTTTTTTGTTTTGCTTTTTTGCTTTGAAAATTATATTCAATGTATCTTTCGTTATTTTAATAATTAAGTACGTTAATAAAATATATACATATAAGAAGGAAACAAGGAAGATTCTTATCGTTATCTTTTAGATATTTCAGAAAAATGACAAAGAAAAAAATTCAACCAGGAAAATCGAATAATTTAATTTCAGAAGGAGTTTCAGAGGAGTAAGGAATTTTTTTTTTCTTATGTTATTGATTATAATGATCGATGTTATAGAATAAAATCATGTCGACCGTTACGTTTGTTTATTAATAAACAAAAGAAGAAAGGAAGTCATGTATGTATAGAAAATATGTTCCTAGAACAAATCTTATATTTCATTTAATAAATAGGTCAATCCATTTGCTTTACGATCGAAATTTCTTCAATTATCATCAGAAAAACAAATGAAATATTATCAAAAATCGATCGATAAATTTATTCAATTACTTGTAAGTGTTTTTTTCTTGAATAATTACAAACATTATAAGAATGCTTTTTTTATAGGATGACAAGGATATTGATGAAAATGCGCAAATTGAAGGGAAATTGTTCGAAACTCTCTTGACGAAAAGTGAACAAAAGAAATACTTTGAATCAATAAGTGCACCAATTAAACCAGTGAAGTAAGTTTTTCTCCTCTTGTCTGTCGATCTATGACTTAGCACGCTCTGAATTCGATTCACACTTGTAACGGTGAAAGTGTTCTTAGAAATATGTGGTTTATGCTAATCATCTAGTAAAAGCGCATCTCTGATTTGTTGGAGCGACTATCGCACTTCGATTCGAATATTTTATTAGCAGTATAGAACTAAGATTCGACCGGATTCGAATTTGAGTTCAAAAATTTTGAACTCAACAGACTCTCCCGGTCAGAATCGCAGTTAGAAAATTTAAAAAGATTGCGATTTTATTTTTATTTTAGTACAGCAGCCGGATATTATGCTGAAATTAAAAAACAAGAAAATGATGATAATCCAACAGCATGGAAATTATTGAGTGCCGACGAAAAAAAAAAGTACACTAACTTGTTACGCGATGTAAGTCATTTGATATCAATTGCTACGATAAAATATTCAATAATAAAAATATTTAGGCTAAAGATGATTATAATTCTCAAATAAAACATTTTTCTGAAAATTTACCCGAACGTCTCAAAGTAGAATATTTGTCATTTGTTAAACACCCACGTACAACTGCTCATGTTAATGGTAGTAACAATGAAAATTCAAGTCCGGCACCGATAAGTCAACGTCGTAAATCTGTTCAGCCGATTCCTGAAAATTTTCAAGCCTTGATAGATGATGCGCAACAAAAATTAAACCGAGCTCAACTTGATGCGTTGCATAAGTGTAAACCCGACGTTTTGTATTACGAGAAAAAAAATTCTGATGATGACAGATTAACATTTATAAATACAACAGCTAAAAATACTTACATCCGAACAATATTTAATCAACTAAGCGAAAAGAAGAAACATAAGTTTGTATTAAAATCAACTAGAAAATGGGAAGAATTTCTTCAATCGCATCCGACAATAATTGAAAATCAAATTCCAACACTACATTTATTGTTAGCAAAAAATGATTACGCACATTATTATTTTACATCTCTTGGTTTACCAGAACGACCACCAGCTACTGCACTTCTCTTGTTTAATTATGAACGACAAGAAGCAGATTCACAACAAAATTGGACTGATCTATCGCAATCAACAAAAGATGAATTCATTAAACGTTTATCAAAAATAAAACGTGACTATCATCAACATTTTCTTGAATTTGTTGAAAAAACTTTACCATCAGATTATGTTCGGCTCGAATTCTTTCGTCATATTAAACATGCAGCTAAAGATTATGAAACAGCTATAAAAGATCGAGTCGACGAAAAAGATGATGGACAATTAAAAATTACTCAATATTTAGTAAAAAAACAAATTATAGAACTCACTCCTATGAGTGAATTCGATCGAATCAAACAAAAACTATTAAACACCGATTTAACTCATGAACAGAGGAAACTTGTTCGACGACTTGGAATTATTATGAATAAAAATATATCTTCATGATGTTTTCCTTCTAGTAGCATTTGTTTTTTTCTTGTCCTTTTTCTCTTCTTTTTCTCTACATTCACTCATTAAATGATTGGATATAGTTCTTGTCTTTTCATTTTTGTTTGTTTTGTTTGAAAGTCATTTTATAGGATAAAGCAATGACCTGAATACTTTTTATTGCGTAATAGAAAATTACGCAATACTATTTCTTTTTGCGTATTTTATATCTCCGAGATATATAAAATACGTCTAGATAAAGTGTTATCTGTTGTTGTATTGTACACAATTCCATCGTTAGGAATTTGTTCTTCTTGTTATATTTCAAAATGTGAAATAAATATAGTTAGATAAAACTTCGCTCATATATTGGAGCAAATTTACATTGGCAAGGATAGCTGTTTCTTCTTCTTTGATTCGTTTTCGTCCTGGTTCGTGCAAAGTGAGCCAGTCATTGCCAGTCAAAGTGCAGTCCACACTGTGGACTCCGCAGTTCATGTCAGTGATGGGACCGGTTCGGTTCCAAATGTTCCGAACCGATTTCTTTTAGATATATATTCTAATATATTTGTTAACTTATTCACTAAAAGTGCTATATCTATATCGTCTGATGATGTGTAAATGAATAAACTAATTCATCAACCATTTTATTTATTTTATTCAAAAATATTGTGAAGCTGCCGACCGCGTTTAAAAGGTCATTATCAACAGTAAATTTAGACGAAAGAAAATTACATATAACACAGAACAATTTTTATTTTTCGTTCTCTTCTGCACATTGCACTACGAAGGGGAGAAATACATTTCCCCAGTTTGATGTTCATAACAGAACGAAAGATAAAAGTAAGAATAAAAATTGTTGTACGTAATTCTTTTTCATGTAAAATTAGTGCTGATAATGACTTCTTGAACAAGATCGAAAGCTTCACAATATTTTTGAATAAAATAAATAAAACGATTGATGAGTTAGCTTATCTTAGACTTGAAGACAGTAGTTACAAAATTGACTTATCATAATCATAATGTAATAGATGATATTCTATTTTTTAGTTCAAATACTACTGCTTCTAAAATATTAATTCTTTTTACCAAGAGTAAAAATTCAAAGTTCATAGGTTCTAGACGTTCAAAGCAAAGCATTTATTATAGAAAAAAGTCAATGGATCATGAGCTTTCGGTATTGATCGTTTTTTGAAACATTTGACAGTTCTAGCTATTAAATAACTGGGCCGAAATCACACTGAAAAAGATAAAACAAAATAGCTACGCGATTGGTCTATGACGATTTAAGTCATCTTTTTTAGATGACTTATTCGTTCATTCTGTTTTAATTCACTTTGAATTAGTCGGTGTGATTTGGGCCCGCCACTCTAAAAAATCAAGACACTTCGATAAGACACTTCTAGTGTCTATTTTTCATTTATTTTGCTTGAGCGTCTAAAATCGGTCATCCGTTGACACTTGGCACGTCTAGCTGAGAAATGCGATGCGTCTTGATTTTAGACGCATGAACCATCTTGTAAGACGCTTGGCATTTTTTAGAGTGTTCTAGTTGCTAATAGAAGCCATGTCCAAAAATGTTTTCTGTAATTCTCAATTTTTATTGGTTTAAATCATTGCCAACCAAACAGTAGCACTGTTCGTGGTAATGCGTCGTGTTCGTGCTAGCTTCACATCGATCAGTCAATATACAAAAAGAAAAGAAAAAAATTAATCAATTTGTTTATTTCACTGGTTCGTTTTCTTTGTATCCATTTTGTGTTGGTTGTAAAACAGTTCTACCATCGAGATAAATACAATAAAGTGTCTATATAGAAAGCAAAGTAAGTATCGCAGTGAGAGAGAGAGAGAGAATGATAATCACATGGTTAGTTTGTAAGGTATCAACAAAGTATTGTACTGCGTTGCTCCCTATTGGATTGAACCGAAGATTCACCGTAACGACTCCCTGCTCGTAGATGGAAATACAATATAATGGAGATTGAGAGATATTGCTGATTACCGTATTACTGCGTAGTGCATTAGCGATATATTCTGCTCCTTTTTCGCCGATTTGATTTTTGTAAAGGTCTAGTGAAGTAAGTGTCTGCGTGCACAAGAGAAGATGAGTACAATCTGTGACAAAAATGTAAGTGGATATATTTTTCTTACATTTATTTTTACAAATTTTCTTTCACCTTATTAAAGGGTATATGATGCACATATACTAAGAGGGGAATCTATTTGTCTATATAGATTTTCCATAGAGAGAAAGATTTTCCACGTAAAATCGATGTAAACGCTTTCTAATACTTCGCATATCCGAGCCAAGAGATGTGCGCTCAGCTCACTACGCAATAGATTAATTAATAGAAAGTTTCACGCTTTATCAGTTTCTATGAACCAATTTTCCCTGCATAGTTCATTTTTATTTCCAAAACCTGATTTTAGTAACAAAAGATAAAACACATGCATATTGTTAATAAACTATGGGGAAAATTCAGATTATAGAAACTGATCGAGCTTGAAATTTTTCATCGATTGATCTATTTTGTTATCATTTTATCATAAATCTCTTTGGTAGGAAATGAGAAATATTGAAAGACATTTAAATCTACTTTTACATAGTAAAATCTATCTATATAGACAGATCGAGTCATCTGCTATTCTAGTGCACTATGTAGCCGTCGTTTCATACTAACTATAAAACAATTTCAATTGGATCCGTATACTTTTTAATAATGGAAAGAAAATTTGTAAAAACAACTGTAAGCAATATATTCGTGTTGCAGACTACAATGGTAATAACCATGTTCTGTTGTAAAGCATTAGCAAAATATTGCGCCCCGCCATCTCCAATTTCATTCAATCGAACGTTCAATGTAGTAAGTGTCTGTACAAAGAAAAGAAGAGTATGAGATAAATGCTATTTGACACGATTACTCTGTTGTTTTGTAGCGCATTAGCGAGATATTTTGCGCCTTCATCTCCGATTTGATTCTTGTAGAGTGTGAGTGTAGTGAGTGTCTGCGTATGGATAATAAGAGGTTAGATATAGGAGAGATCAGAAAGAAATGATGATTACCATGTTGCTTCGTAAGATATCAGCAAAATATTGTATACCTTTTTCACTGATTCTTTGTTTGTAAATGGTGAGTGTCTGTTCATGGTGAATATGAATATGTGAAGGGATCGAGAACAAGAAATCTCACCTTTTCATTGCGAATTTTGACAGCTGCTTGAACAGCGACACAATATCCACTAGCATCTTCGTCAACATTGAGTGTGGTAAGCGTCTGGTTTTTAGATACTATAATATGATATCGATTATAAAGGAATGAAAATTACTGTGTTGTACTGTAGCGCATCAGCGAGATACTCTGCTCCTTGTTCTTGGACTCGGTTTTTGTTAAGGTTCAACGTGACAAGTGTCTACGTGTAGAAAACAAAGTGGATATGATCGAAATCAGCGACAAAGGATTTAAAATAACCGTGTTATGCCGTAGTGCATTAGCAAGATGCTGTGCACCTTGATATCCAATTCTATTAAATGAAAGATTCAGCGTGGCGAGTGTCTATGCATTGGAAAGATAAATACGAGACAAATTAAAAGAGAAATTGAAGGTTATACCTTGTTACGAACCAAAGCGTTAGCAAGATATTGCGCACCCTTGTCTCCGATTTGATTACTGCCAAGATCCAAGATTATGAGAGACTATGTATAAAATAGCAATCGAATATGAGAAAGATAAAAGGATGATTAACTTCACTGTATCATAGTGTAATACATCAGCGAGATTCTCTGCTTCGTTATCGATGATTTGACAGTCGCGCAAAGAGAGGTACGTAAGTTTCTATAAGAAAAATAATTTGAGATGAATTGACGAACTAACTTCGACTGTTAAAAAAAAGTACACCTATATGATGAAACGCAATTATTCGAGTATACATTTACAGCCATTTTTATTAATCACTTAATGACTCTTTCTATGAGTTCTGTATAGTCAGACATATTTTTACGTACCTCCTCAGCGATACCATCAACCATTTTATGGGTCAATCTTCGCACAAAACGATGAACGCCGTCTATCGACAATACTTCACATCTGACTGAGTCAGTGAAATCATTTATTTTGATCGAGGTGGTATAGATCCTAATTTTATGCGGTCGAAACTCATAATCACAAGCAAAAAACCATTTTTTCTCTTCAAGCCAAAAGGATGTTCGAAATGAATCAATAAGAAACGCGAGGCTGGTAGAATTAGTATTTCTATGAAATCCAGTACTATTCGAAAAGAAAAATTCGAATCGATCTAAGATAGGTAATTTAGTTTTGATCAAGTGTGTCCAATCATAACCATTTGATAAAATGTTCGATCCGCATTCATAAAACCAAAGCTTTAGCTGTACAAGCGTAGATGTTAGTGAAAGTAACTTTTCCAAATGTTTCATAGGTAGTGAACATTGTGTGATGGCCAACGACTTCAAAAGTGAACACTGTGTTGATGCAGGCGACGAGAAAATCTTGTCATCCACATGGTCCATAGTACAATCTTTCATTACAAAAGTTTGTAAACGAGGCCAATGGTGGAGAATAGCACAGTAATTGCTAAATGTGCAATTATCGATTGACAGATGTTCCAGTTTGTATTCAATTGGCCACGATATGTTTTCCATCGTAGCACGTAAATAATTCAAAATCATTAGTGTTCGAATTTTAGATCGAGCAACTGTTGACAAAATAAGAAGCCATGCTTGTGTATGATCCCGTTCGCTTGATATAACTGAAAGTGAGACGAGAAAATCAGTTTTTATTGATTGCAGAAAATGTTGTAATTCTGTGTCATTGAAATTATGAAGCGTCAGTGTACGAAGTCGCGTAAATTTGCAAACTGGGAAATTTGAAATCAGTGGATTGACTTCATTAGATTTCTTATGATCATTGATGATAATCAGTGAAACGACGTTTTCAGGCCGAATGATATTATAAATCGTATTAAAACTCGATTTCAACTTTGAATCATATTTCAATTGATGACTACCATAACTGTTGGAAATAGCATAGAGTTGCTTGCAGGCACAACGAACCGAAAAAATAATCGTATGGGCATCGCAATAATCCAAAATATGATGCAGCAGTTCAACAGGAAAGTTAAGTAGAGACATATTGGCTTTGAATATTAAGATTGAAGAAACAGGCCACCGTCTGTTTTTCAATACACAATACAAGCAATTGTAATCATATCACTTTCCTTTGACTCACACGTTGTTGTGCAGAATTACACATAGCCTCTATGTATAGTTTAAAAACCATGAGCGACTCATGAAAATCGAGGCAAATGATTATTGGCCGAAAAAGACTTGAGGAACTGAAGAACACACGATTGGTTATCATCCGTTTGAATCATTTTTATATAACAGAGATGACTTATCATATGTTCTTCGATTCTTTCGGTATTTTCGGCCATTTATTATTACCTGAAAGTCGTCGCAGTATACATGGAAATTCAGTTACCAATCAAATAATGCAGAGATGTCGTTTAAAACTTCACTTCATATATTTTCTCGTCAAATTTTGGTTTTACAAGAATAATGGTGAAAAATTATTATGTAGTGACACGCTTATCAAACGTAGCGAACAAATCCGAAACTCTTAAAGTTCAATAAGGAGACTATGGAAAAAAATAAAGAACTAAAACTAATATCGTCCTCGCTACGAAATTTAAAGAGTTTCGAATTCAGCAAATGTGCTGGATTAGGAAATTGCGGGATCAAGATTTTTGATCCCAGTTTGAGTTTCGATTAAAATTCTTTGATACAAATTTTTTTCTATTGAAACAAGCAGATAGGGTGTGGGTGTGGGTGTGTACAGCAGCCAAGACACGTTTCGTCTTTGCTTAAGGGACTCTTAAGTTGGCAAATAATCTCTATGATAAAATTTTAAATTAAAATTAAAATTAAATAATTAAAATTTTAAAAAAATCACAACATTAAACTATACTGTTATATAGAAATTTTTCGAAAAGAAAAAAGACCATATAATGATAGTATCCATTTCCAGTAGATTAGAAATTAAAGTTTTTAAGAAAAATCGAGATCGACACTACGCGTTTCGTCCTTTCTCAAGGGACTTCTCAAGTGGCGTAAGACATCTTAATCGATTACAAGAATCAATTAAAATTATCTTCTACATTGTTGTAAGAAGCAAAAAATTTTTGACGAAATGTAGATATTTAGAAAAAAGTGATATAAATTAGAAAGCATACCACGACCGGTTTCGTGGGTGTGGGTGAGGATGTGAGTGTGGATGCGAAGGACTTGACGTTTCCACATGAACACGCACACACGCACCCACACCCTAGAACTGCTTATAATTATTACGCTCTTCATAGTCAGCTACACGAACATAATGAGTTTTCTATTCTCCGTACCCACGTGCATTAACACAGTGATTCGATTAATTTATACTCTATCCAAAGTCTGCTCCTGTTGCATCAAGGAGATGTGCTGTCTCTTATGCAACGATATTTGAACTAGCTCAATACCCTGTTAGCGAACGGTTCTCGAGAAAAGAAGGCCAAATGAACTGCATTTGTAATTGATCTGTGTTTGAATAACATTTCACAGTTTGTTTTCTGGCGTCGTGTGCTCCTGTTCCTGTTCTCAGAAAAAGCTTGTTAGCGCAGCTTCTTAGTGGCTAAAGTGTGAAACTTACATGTATTCCTTTGATTTCCTAACCTAATGCAAAATAGCTCAATTGAAAAAATCTATTTTATTCCCTAAAATTCCCTCGACTATACGGTTGGTCATATGAAATAAAATAAACTTATGGATAGGTGGCTGACTGAGTGTGTTTGTGTCAGAGTAAAAAAACACATACCAGAGTTTAGCTTATTGTTAGACTTTTCAGTCTTTTGATCTAACTTCATAGATGTCATAATACCTAAACATAGGGTAATGAGAATCAATCGCCGTAATCCTCAAAGAGTGTTCAACTGAGGGTGTGGGGTGTAGATTAAGGTGCATCTCACATGCACACCCATACGCCACACGCACACCCGCATTCACATGTAACATGTAAGAATAAATACGCTGAACATCTGATTGAAATCTATTTTTCAAACTATATCATCGACAATGGAATAAAAGTACTAAATTATAATTTATTTACATTCATAGAGGATAGACACATCTTACATATATGTATATTTGTTCGTCACGCTAGAGGATGTGGATTTTCTGTTATTTCTACTCACACCAATATTCTCAAGATAATGAAGTTTTATTAAGAATATGCTTCAAGTAGTAGCAAAGATAAGAAAATGTGGATCGTTTCTTTTCTTGTAGTCTATCATGTTTTTTATGTCAGCATTTATATTATTAAACGCTCATTATGACATCAACACTAACTCCTGTACCACCGGCTCCATTGTATAACCAATAAGATATATTGTATGTACTGCCGATTGTAGTCGCAAATGTTTGACTGAGATAATCGGGAGCGCCTACCGAACCATCCATATAAAAATACATACCAGAATAAGGCGTATACGTGTAGCCATTATAAGCGGTGCTTCCGAATTGCACTTCGCCAGCATTCGATGCAACATTTGGATTACAATAGGCCCATGATGAAATATTGCCGGTCTCGAAGTCACCATTGCTAATTAATTGCGTGCTGGGAGCTGCATTGTCCCATATGGTTATGTTATCAAGCGCAAAATAATCAGAATCATCGCGAAAAACAAATGTAATTCGTGTTGTATTGGCAATGGCCACATAGGAATATGTATATTGTAGGTAAGAACTATGACCAGTACAATTATTGTGGCAATGATAGAGTATGGTGACACCTTGCCATCCTGATGTGCATGTATTGGATGTAATTGCTTAAATGCAATAATCAAATAAAATGAACTTTAGTTGAATTGCTGATGAAATCTACTCACTGACAGTTGCTGCAGTTGTTGTAATAGTAACAGCTAAATATCATGACCAGAAAGTTTAAAGAAACAGATATATCAAGATGTTCTATAGGGGGGGGGGGGGGGGGCCCCCAATTTTTTAAAAAAAAATAAAANCCCCCCCCCCCCCCCCCCCCCCCCCCCCCCCCCCCCCCCCCCCCCCCCCCCCCCCCCCCCCCCCCCCCCCCCCCCCCCCCCCCCCCCCCCCCCCCCCCCCCCCCCCCCCCCCCCCCCCCCACCCCATTATTTAAAGAAACATTCATAAGCGAGAGTGAATATTTTTCAAGCATAACATTCTACGTGTTTTTGTATGCCCAATTATCACAAATTATCAATCAGAGAAGTGTCAATATTCTTTGGATATATGAGAAAACGGATTTTATAGACTAGAACATGCAGTATTCTACAGGATTTCAAATCCTCTCATCGTGTCCAAATATATAATCGAAACATTTTACCAACAAAAACAGGACTTTATTTTTGAGCATTTATTAATTAAATTGTCTATATTCAAAGAAAAATCATGTGTATATGAGTAGCTGTCTAATTCAAGTGCAAACATAAATGGAGAAAAGAAAAAGAAAAATGACTTGATACATACGGGAATAGATTTAGCTTTAGTTTAACTTTCCGATATATGCGACATAGACACACATATATACCCCTACAACCACACCCACACATCACCCCGGGTACTCCTTATCCGCGCACACACTTGAGGTTCCCACATCTCTCCCTGGTACCCATCACCAACATCCACATTTGAAGTCCGCTGGGTACCCTTTCTACCCACTCCAGTCAAAACTAAATCTATTTCTATCACTCATTTTCGAATGGATACCATGCAGTTGGGTGTCCATTTATATTCGAATTCAAATTACGCATCTCATGGTGTAGATACAAGCATTATTAAACTTTCACAGTGGATATATGCAGTAGATGTGGCATGATCGAAGTTTCCGGTAGGATTCTTGGTGTGAATTATGTATGAATATAACTCACTGCCCAAGCAGACAAAAAAATTAAAAAATGTGTTTAAATGTGTAAAATTTGTTCACCTTTTTTGGCTGAAAGTTGTGTTTCCCGACTGTATACCACTGACGACCAAAATAAATGAACGTGAAAACGATCATTTTCTCAAGGTAATTGAAATTTCAAGGTATTTGTTGGCGCTAATTTTTGTTCGTTTTCACCTCTACTATTTATAAACATTATTGACTCACACTCGGGAACTTCGATCGGCATCCGATCACGGTCAGAAAAATGAACGTTAAAATAACCGTTTTCTATAATGCTAAAAAATCTTTTACGCTTCAACAGTTCATTTGCTGAAACTATTCTAGGTTTACTTTTAGCTGATGTGAGTAAGGGTGCGAATGCTATTTCACTCTTTAATCACACCCATCCAACACCAATACTTCACTATCTTGAAGATGTGTGGGTGTGAGTGTGGCCATCGACCTTCTCTTCACCCACGCGCACACTCACACACCATTTGCATAATTTAAAACTCATAACAACTACTCAAAATTGATATTTAAATGCTTCAAATTTTAAAGCCAATAAATACGAAAAATTTTCTCCCATAAGAGATATATCAATAACTGAAAAGTAGCATTTAAATTATCCAAATTTAAACTAAAAGAGTTGTAATAAAAATTGGTGCGTAGGCTTTCATATTAGCCTCGGAGTCGCGGTTAAAACGCTTGAAGTTCACATTCAAGAAATAAAACAAAATGAACTAAAAAACGCTCAGAATGCTTATTTTTGAAGCAACTACACGGTTACTAATTACCGTTATTAAGTGAGCGTTATAAATGTTGCAGAAAGTTCGCAAAAAGTCATGCTTTTGGTAAAGAAAACGCGTTTGGGATGAGGTGGAGGTTTAAATGCTTGTGATACTTGCTTGCGAGGTGTTGAAAGGTCCAGAAGAAGCTAGTTCATGAGGACTGACCGTGTTGATGAACAAAACGTTGAGATTCCTGGTGTTTACACGAGCAGTGTTTCTTGCACGCGTGTAATAGTGCAGAAAATTCTGTTTTGCGGCGTTTAAACGTGTTTTTTCAAAGTTTTATCCACTTGGATCAATATTCAGATAGAAACAACACAAATTGGCACTGTACTTATTGAGTGTCAGAGACAAGAGGAAAAGTGACTTCTGGATCCTGATGGATTCTATGGGTCCACTGGGAGCTGCGTTTTCCTCTTGGGCAAGGTGTGTGTAGGTAGCAAACTGAATATTTTTCTATTCGAAATTCAAAAATTTGAATCATCATGTCAACAAAATCAGAAAAGAATTAGATACTATAATTATCATATGAACAGGCCAATGAAGATTATTACTGTTTAGGGGCAATATTGCATAAGAAAACTATATGGTAGAATCATGTTCTACATCAATAGACTGGTCGTGTAAATATACTTTTGATAAATTAGACTTGGGTGCAATAGCTACGAAAGCATGCATGGCCCAATAGATCTATACAAAAGCATTATTGCGATGGGTTCGAGTGCTGAGAAACGCAAAGAAACGTCAAACGTTTCTGATAACGTCTGAGCTTGTCTCATATGGGAGTGCGAGATGCACCCGTTCGATATTTAAAATATTTCGATTGCATACTCCCAATCTATGAGAGAATGTCTCATTTCGTCAGTTTCTATGACTATACCATCGTGGGTATTCTCCATAAAAAAATTTAGGTGATTTCAGACAGACATTGGTGATTCGAAAAACATTACACAGCAATGCAAATAAGGAACATATTAATATAGATAAATCTACTTACATGTTGTAGAACTGGTAATTGAAGTCGAACTCGAAGTCGAACTCGAAGTCGTTGCAGTAGTTACTGCACTGAAAGAGATGCTTGTGGTTGATACACCAGTGCTCGTGTTGTTGACCGTGTCTATAGAATGGAAAGCATTAAACATAGAGGCAAAAAATAAACTTTCGTAGAATAGCAATGCAGTTGCTTCAGAATTCTTTCTGTGAGCTTCAAAGAAGAAACGATTAAAAGATCCCTTCCCCTTGCCGCCGCACCTCTGGGACCAAAATTAGCAATCTGATATTTTTCTCCGTATTACTTTCGCTAGGTGCAGAAATAGTTCAAAGATTTTAGAAAATTTTCTTCACTATACTTCATATTGCTCAGCTCGGATCAGTCAGCGTTGTTTTTGTTGTGAACCCTAGGGAGGCATTTTTTTTCATGAAATAGCACCATTTGTTTCAACTTTATAGTTGATCAACAATAAAGAGTAGAGAGAATACTTCTATTACTCAATTCTTCCATCTGACATTACCGTAATATATGGTAGTCTCTGGTTCTGACTTTAGAAGAGGCGTCTCTGCTGTATTGATAAACTCAAAGAGATTGATTTACCGTTATAGGATTGTTGAGACAGATACAATGTCAACACCACTGCTAGACCAATTCCGGCCAATAGTGCTCCAACACAGGCCATCTGTAGAAACGTTTTACATCCAGAAGAAAAGCTTAAATTAAAAGAAAAAAGTATACGGACACAAGCAGAAAAGAAAAAATATATGTTACTTGTAAAATACTTCTCTTTTCTTTCGTTCTTGTTCATTTTCTTTTTCAGCAGTTTTCTTTGATGATGATAATATATTTTCGTTCCAAACGCTAACTCCCACTGGCATGACGTCGAATAACAATCAAGTTCAATATTATAAATTCTAAAATTAAACGAATTCTTATGCTTTGCGGATTAAACACGAAAGCTTGTTAGCGCAGTCTTTTCAGGACTAAAATATGAAATTTTCCAAGATAATTGATCACAGGAGGACCCAGGTCGAACATTCCGGTCCCGGAAACGGCCGCTTCTGTGGTATTCCGGAGATTTCATGGAAGCAGTATTCCGGTGAAAGGATCCGGTGATCGGATTTATCCGGTTCCGGCCGGAATCGACAGGAACCTGTCAAAACTGGTAGTCGGATACGGTTTCCGGATTCCTGCATCGAATTCCGGACAATTCCCGGTGGGTCCCGGTCGAAAACAGCGAGTTTCTTGCAGGTTTTCGCCGGAAATTCACGGAATACTGCTTCAGGAATCATTGTCCTGGGGAAAAATCATTTTTTTATTTTTTCATATCTTGAACGCCACTGTTTCTTTTTTTTGACGGCGCTCTATTTATTTTGAATTGTTGCTATTCTTTCATTATTTTTACTTTTCGGTACTGTTTTCTTTAAATTTTGTAATTACCTTTTTTTCATCATTAAATAAACTGACAAAGAAGATTTGTAAATGTATGCCATATGTAGAGTAAGTAATTACAGAAGAACTATTATAATTTTCGATCAACTCAAAAGGATTAACATACTTTTTTTCGAACTGATAAATTGAACAGTATTGGAAAACACTCAAGAAACTCTGATGTTTAGTGTTTTCATTAGCTAATATGTGTAATTTTGCCATGTATTGGTTGCTATTCTCTGAAATGAGTAATGATGTATTATTCTATATTGTTTGAGATGGGTAGACGTAAAAAAAACGTTAAATGTTCATCAATATCCGTAATGTGATGCAGCAAAGATTTCGTGTTTGAACTTACACTCACGCCATTCTTCAAAAATAACGCGAATTTCTCGTAAAATGCGAGTTCACAACCAGGAATCATATGTGAAAGAATGATTTCAGTAGAAAACTTCTATGAAACTCAATAGAGCGGATTTCTGTGGGTGTGTTATCTTTGCATCCGCATGGAATTTCGATGCGAAGATGCACAAACACTCGCAAGGCATCTATAGACATCTTGTTCTTCAATTGTTAAGAAACGGAAGCAATAGAAGATTTTTAAAATGTGTTTAGATAGTCATACCAGTTACTGTATATTCTGATTGATTAAAACTATCATATTTTACCGTAATTACCACTGAATGTTCCACCAGAACATCTACCGACGAGCAGGAATCGCGGAATGATTTATTTGATTCAAATCAGTAGAAGAGACGACCACTCGCGGTTGAAAAGCTGTGAGTACCTATTATTCCGTAATAAAAAATAAATAAGATTGCTGATTTCAATTATTTGTTCTTTTCTTATGAAGAGTAAATTTGACCTTTATTCAATTGCATCCAAACTGTAAGTCATCTTTTCACTTTTTTTCTTATTCAAACTTATAATTGGAAACTTCATCTTGACATGCTCTTTCAATATTCAAAACAGGAGGCATATGTTAGCTCTATGTTTGGGGATGACACTATAGAGCTATGCTATACTATGTATATATATATATTAGCATACATACATGAATGAATATGCAGTCGAATGGATGAATATATATAGGTATATAATAAACACCTGTACTGTAATGCAAACAGCAACAGTACAACTACATGTAACAAGAAGTACGCCCAGAACGAATAATGAAAACAAAGGATGGCCAGGATGACGAGAATAGAATGAAGAAAAGAGATATGTGTAAGTGAAACAACATGTATATATAGTGTACAAGATACAAACATTGATCACACGCTGAACACACAAGTGGTCACTCAACAAATGACGTCATGTCATAATTATATACTAGCTTAGGGTTAGTGTGTATTCACTGACGCTAACAATACGCAATATATTTTTTATCAAAGTAGTAGGTTGCGCATAAACTGGGTTTTTCTCGGGTCATCGAAGTCATTGGTAATATTTCCCGAAGATTAAGTTACTTAGTACAAGATTATCCCGAGTGATTGTAACTATTAGGATATTCTAACCTACATTCGATGTGTCTATAAGGTGCAAATTTTTACATCAAAATTATTCTATCTTGCGTTCAGTTCAAGAGCCTATGAATATAAAAGAAATCGCATTCGAATATTTGAAATAAGTAGCAATTTTATTTCGATTTCGATTTCATAGATAGAAAGAAAGAACACTTTCATCAAATTACACACGAATGTTTTAGATTAAAAATTCAAACCACCGTGTTCGTGACATGAAAATATTCCCTTTAATCAAAAAATCTAAAATGGATCAAAACCAATGTTTATTTAATCTTTCAGAAAAAAATATATTTTGTGTATTTTTCAGGTGAGACGAATGAGATTTATTGTTCTCTCTCAATACACCATCGAGACCACTGTTCTAGGAGTTCAGGATGTGGGTGTGGGTGTGGGTGGATGTGGAGTGGGTGTGGGGTCTGGGTGTGGGTGGATGTGGAGTTAGTAGCGTAACCAGGGAGTGGTCAGAGAGGGCTGAGCCCCTCTACGAAATTTTCTATCTGAAATTTCAATAACCTAGATTGTTGCCATCTAAAAGATGAAGTGTTGTTTATTTTGCTTCTCTATAAAAGAATAAAGGAAGAGAGAGCATTAGCGTTTGCTGTTTAAATCTAAACATGTTCAAATTCAAAATTGTAATAAATAGACATATAATGCAATAATTAGTGTAACACAGAAAAGGCGATATTTTTCATAACATACGTGTTTAATTGAATTATTGCTAATAAAAAGTAAACGTTTTCAGATATTGGCTTCGTGCATTGTTACAGTTGAATTCAAATTGCCTTCTTCTACTTTCGAAGGGCAAGGGGGCTGAGCCTCCTCTACGAAACTTTGCTGGTTACGCCACTATGTGGAGTGGGTGTGGGGTGTGTGAGTGTTGGTAATTACTAATGATGTATACCCACACCCACACCCTCAAGTTCTATCAAAATAGCATAACTAGTGGAGATAGTTCTATGATTTATATAACAGTAATTAAGTGACTTCAATCAGAACATATTGAATACCAATATACTTTAATAGAATTTGAAGTTAGCAATATTTAATCAACAGAAAAAAGTTATCTTTCCTTATCATGAGATTTTTAAGTAATGTTGTTGAATTTGGGGTGTGAGCGTGGGTGTGTTGGTGTAATTATCGGTATAGATGTCGGTGCATCGATCCTAAGAAACGTTTGTCGCATGGATATGCACCGATAGTAACACTCATGCTGTCACACTATCTCATTAAGACATACCCACATCCAGACCCACACCCTCGAAAGCAACTGTTTTTCTTTTTGAAAAAGAAGTTCTTGATTAAAGACAAAAATATTTCAATAATTTTCTTGATTTATTTCGCGTATAAGCGGACTAGTCTTGTAGAGAAAATATATGCTACCTGGTTGATTCAAAAGAAATCTTGACAACGCAATATCTTTGTTCTGATCAATTCGGCAACGGCGTAAAGCGTTTAAGAAAATAACTGAATGAATTCTTAAATTGAATCAATAGTTTACAATAAAAGCATCACTGTGAACCAGGTGAAAGCGATCTTTGATCAGGACAACCATTCTCTAGATTTGTGTGTCTGTGTATATTCAATGATGCATGTGCTCTTGTTTTTTTTCTCTATCCAGTTTCTTGTCAAATATTGAAAACGACGCATGCGATGAATAAAATAAATAAAAGTAATTGAGAAATTTATTTCAAATAGAGAATTCAATTTGTAAGCGAATTGATAGAAATTAAGACAGATAGTTTCTCATTAACCAAAAATGCATCAACAAGAAATCAAAATCATTTTTTGGCTTTAATTCAAGTTTAGAATATCTTCACTTTCATACATGTATTTCTCATACATAAATATTGCTGCATCTTTTTGTAAAAAAAGACTATAAAAACATTTTCTTCATCGCTTTAACAAGGTTTAATTTTTTTTTCTTACTTGAGCACATGATATTCGAACGAGTTTATCTGAAAGATTTTTATGAATCACGATGAAGAAGATGACAGAACAAAAAGGAAAAAAACAATATTTCTTAATCAACTATACTCAAATCAGTCTCACACGATTTTACATTAAATGAAACCACTATCTACTGTCTTTTTTTTCGTTGTTCGATATTTGTCTCTTCGCATGTTTATGAAGATCTATTGTATACAAGCTCATTTCTCAGCTGTACAATCGATTTTCAATGAAACTATATATTATTTGATTTCTCATTGAAATTCTTGTCTTTATTCTTTTTCTTTTGTCTATTTCAATCATTTCATTCCGTGAATGGATTTATTTTTGATCTATTTTATTTACGTAATACAAAATCAGCAGTACAACGTATACATGTATGAGGAAAATACTTTTTGGTATGTTCATCGATTTGATCCACCGGATAAAAATATAGAGCAGCAAGTTTTGCACAATTATTCGGTCTTGTATATTTTGTAAAATTGTATGTCACTTTTTCTAGTGATTGATAATCGACACGAAGATGAAGATGATTTGGCAAAGCCATTTTCCTATCAAATAAAAATAATTCGACATAATCATGATGAGTGTTAGTAAGATCAAGCCGAGTAAGATTAGGATATTCAATAATTGATAACATTTGATTATCATTATTTGATTTTGCAATTTGTTTATTATTTTGTGCTTTTAGATTCCTTATTGTTAATTCTTTCATCAAGGGAAATGACTGAGCAATTCGAAGAAGAAATTCATCTTCAAATGGGCGTTCATCATATAACGATACTTCAGTAACACTAGTAAATAATCCACCCCGAAAATCATTTGTTATGTTATTGTAAACTTTCCATTTATATGGATACGAATAAATATGATATTGACTATATCCTTTTTCTTGGAAATGATCAATACAAGTAATTATTTCACTATTATGAAAATATTCAAATGTTTTCTCAATGTGTTGATTTAATACGAAATTTGTTTGATCACAATGCTTAATAGTTGAGCAAATATTAAATGTGAATTTATATAATCGTGGCATATAAAGAATAATATCTTTCATCAGTGTATCGCCATCAATAAATCTCCCATTACATTCGACTATAATATTTAAATGAAGTTCTTCTAAATTTAACATTCGACGTACAACTGACACAATTGATTTATCAAAATCAATTATCCTCTTGCAGCACAAAGAAAAAATTCGCAAGTTTGGTAATAGGTTTTGCTGAAAATGAAAACAAATGGGTTCATTTAAACAAACAAAATATTAATAAAAAATAACCTACATCATGTTCAATTCCGGATAACCAAGGTAAAGTCCCATAAACAGTAACATAAAGTATACGAAGTTGATCAAAACGTCCATCAAGTATATCAAGACAATCCCGCATCTCTACCACACCGACATGTAACTCTAATAAAGTTGAAGAGATAGCAGTATCACGTGTCAAATAAAACAATACAGCGTCACGATAAGATGAAGATGGATTGAATCTTAAGCATCGTAAACTAGTAAATATGGTCAAAATTTTTGCAAATATAATTGAATAGACAGTTCTCATTGGAAGCGAATCCTTTACATTATTAAAATTGATAAACAGTGATGAAAATTGATTGTTGAATATATGAGTTAAAGAATTTTTACCTAAATAAAGTTAATAGTAAAAATATTTTTCAAATCTGTTTCTGTTCATTCGAGTAAATATCTAAGATTTTCTATTTAGCAACATTATCATCTATATATATGATGTTTTCTTTTCTTTTAAATTCTTTCATAGATTAGATTCTATATGATCAATGTTGTGTTCTATCTCACTTATTGACTTGTTTATATTATTCATTTTATTCTAGACTCTCTATATTAACTCTATTAATCTTGAAAAATTTCAATCGAATATATTATCAATGTATTTTTTTCTTATACAAATTAAAAAGTTGAATTCTTTTTCTCGTAACGACATTCCTATAAAGAGTATGTTTTATGTAGTAAATAAAAGTGAAATTAAAAAGATGATTTTCTATTGTCAGATGATCTTTAATTATGAATATCCAATCCTATTGATTATACGTTCAAAATAAATCATTTTGTTTGCTAATAACAAATTAATTCTAGAATAAAATTTATCAAAGAAAATCTCTTACCATCAAATAGAGACATAGCTACTTCGGAGTCGATATGACATAAACTAAGGTTATTTAAATTAGGATAATTTGTAGCATGAAGAATACGTTCCATTGATGTTCGTTCAAGATGCAGAGTTTTAATTCGATGCCCAATTTCAGGTAAAATTTCTGAACAAAATCGATCAAGTATCGGATCTGATAATGGAGAGCTAGTCTTGCTGTCTGGTAAACATTCTAGTAAACATAGATCACGAGTAAAAATTGTATCATGTACAATTCTATTGAGTCGTTGGTTAACACCCATTAAAGAATAAAGTACTTCAACATTGTACAATTTTTTAAATATATGGATAAGAATTTCATCACATAAATCATCCAACTGAATGAATGAATGTTGCATGTTTGTCTGTACATATCAGAAACCGAAACCGATGACAAAAGTGCCATTCGATTCGATTCGACTCATATTGGATTTACAAAATATGGTATTCACTATTACATAGTGTTGTTGTTTTCAGAATGTCATCGTCTTAGAATGAGAATAGTCTGTCGATTTTCTATAGAAATATGTTGAATAAATATAATTTATGAAGATGTACATAAGAATTATTCATTTTTTCAAGAAGGAATACATAAAATATAAATTAATGAACACATCTAAGTAGACTAATTAAATAAGTTTATTTTCTATAGAACGAAGAAAAAGAATATCATTTACTGTAGAGTGCATGTCCCTAATAAGAACGGGGATTTTTTATGTTCACGTTGTGACTGTCATATCTCTGTGATGAAATGAGTGAGTGAGCTGAAATTTTGCAGCAAAGTAGAAAAAATTCTTTTCTATCTATTGGTGAAAAAAAATTTTAAAAAAGTTGAGAAATGATCGAGTTATGACCGGTAGTTTGAAGTCGACTGGCGCCGTTCTAAATAAATGCACTTTCCTCAATAAGAACGCTAATGTAAAAGTTGACCTCAATTAGAACGCACCAGCAAAATACATAGGAAAATCGTTATAATTCAAAAATTGTATCATATCTACTTCAAAAATTCTAAATCAACCAAAATTTTTGCTAGACAACTTGTTCATTATGTATTTTTCTATAATTCTACAAAGGTTCAACTGAATATGTTGTTCCGTTGATTAGATATACCCTTATGAAGTCCCATAAATTTCATCAAAAAACGTTCTAAATAAGTACATGTCTTCAATTAGAACGTTCACTAAAATCTGGTCCCTTATTAGAACGGATCCATACAAAATGCATGTAGATCACTAGATTTTATGTATTTTCGTTTTCATCTGCTGCACAACTTGAAAATTCATCATCAATTCCGGAACAAAAGTTATTCAGTTTTATTTTCTCTACAACATATAAGTGGTCTAGTCATTTTCGAATATGTATTTACTTTTATTTCTATTCTGTTTGAATACAAAAAATAAAATTAATATAGTTCAACAAATAATCATTGATAACTTAATAACTATGATTATAAAACATATCTAAGTGTAATTATACAAAAATAGATAATTTCGATCGTTGAGAAAAAAAGTATTACAGAAAAAAGCGAAATATTATATTAAAAACAATTCGAAAACTAGAAATATGTGTAAACTATAATACATAATACATTATGTAGAAAGATAAAGTACTATTTGTTGTCAATCAATTTTAAGCTTTGTATAAAGATTGGCATAGAATAATTAATAACCAAGTTGTGATTCATGATTTCATAAAAGTTGCGGTAAAGAATCAGAATCAGTTGCATCAGTAGAAGTCTAAAAGATATCAGAATGAGACAATATATACACATAGTAAGTAGTTATAATGTTACTTTGGTCTTTTTCGGTGCTCCTCTTGGTCGCTTCACCTTAGCGGCTTTAGCTACTTTAACTGCTTTTTTATCTTTCAATTCTTGAAGAAGACTACCACTTGTTATCTCTTCACCATAACGACGCTCTGCTCGTACTCGTTTGTTAACAACGGGTGTTGGTGGAGGTGGTTGTATTTCTTGTAAGCAACTAGTGACAATTGAACGGACAGCAGATGTTGGACTAAATGGTGGTATTTCAATTGGAACAGATGTCAGCTCATGAAAAGTCTTTTTTGGTTCACCATGTAATTGATATATTTCATCAGATGAATCTAAGTTAAAACTATCCCAATTATCTTATATCAATATTAAAAATGAACAAAGCGGTACTTAGCGACTTGAAACCATTGTTATATTTCAGAAATTTATTTGTTGGATAATCTGGATTCGTAAGCGTTCGCTTGTTGTCAGGTGAATTGAGACCATATCTGAAGAAAAAAAACATTTTGAAAATGTCACAGTTTTTTGCTTACCCTTCGTTATCTTCCACTGGCATAATGATTCGAGCAGTTATACGACTAGACCATACACCATCAGTGTCTGTCCAAACACTACAGCTTAAAATTAATCACAAATTATCTTGCACAATCATCATTACTTACGTATTCTCGTCCCATTTGGTAGAAGAAGCAGTTGTTAATGGATAGTTAAAAATAGAAACAGGATCATCTAAACATATTGATATAGAGAACGATAAATCTTGATGCATCTGTGTTACCTAAAGAATAAAGTGCCATAGTTTTTGCTGAAGCAGGCATCGATCTAAAAATACTTTATTAGTACATAGTCGTTTGAAAAAATTTCAGAAATCAATCTATTCATATCAAAAAAGATTTCAAACTGTGAGATGACTTTTTTTTAAAATTTTGTGCGTCCTTGAAAAAGTGATTTGAGATAGAACATTTGAAATTATTCTTAAATTTAGTTAATAGCAATAAAAGATCCACTCAACTATTAAATAACATGAACTCAATGTAGAGCACCCCGTGAAAATAATTACAACGGAATTAAATTTACCGAGGGCCTGTATTTGTTACTGCTTGATGTGTAACTTTTTCTGATTCTTGTGAAAATTCAATGTTCGATACAGATAAATTATTTCCATTGTCCATATGTAGGGTTGCACTAAAAATAGAAAAGAAAAATTCATAAATAGGTAGAGATCGTTAAATTTACTCGATAGACTTTGATGTTTGTAATGCATTAATATTACGTGGTGGATCAATTGATGTTTGGACGCTTGTTTCTGACACAACATTGTTTGAAACATTTTCAAGTGCACTAAAATTATCTGAATGTTATATATGACACTGATTACGTTAAACACTATACTTTATTGATGTAGACGATGAAAATTTCGACGGATGATCTTTCTTTGCCACCTTCTCTTTCATTACATCACCGTCGAAAGGCCATAAACCACATCTGGCAAAACCAGATACACATTGTCTCTTGGTAAATGCTTCTTCCATTAAATTTTTCAAAAGAGATGGAAAATCGATTTTTCTTATTGTTTTTCGATTACTTCGGGAGAAATACTTCGACACGATTTTCTTCCAAAATTTTTTTGCCGAGCTATGGAAACGAAAGTTATATAAAAGATTATTTGTCACTTATACTAAATTCATACCTTAATGTTACAACATCGAGAGGTTGAAGCGCGTGAGTGCTATGTGGTGGTAAACATAGGAGGATTACTTTGTTCTTTATAGCCAATTCGATAACATCAATATTAATATGAGTGGGATGGCTATCCATAACTAACATCAATGGTCGATCTATATGCTTTGTTCGTTCAAGAAAGCAACTCTTAAACCATTCTGTAAATAAACCTTCTGATATCCAACCAGATTCAGAGCACTTATATGTTGTACCAGGAGCACCACCAGAACACCAAAGTGAATTGACCGCCTTCGCAGCGTAGATAAAAAAAGGTGGAATAACATCACCACTTGCACTAGTACATAAAAGTATCGTCGTGAATGCTTTTCCTGAGCCACCACTTTGTTCAAAAGCAAATTTTGTTTCAGCTGGTACGCAAACATATTCACCTATTAAAAAATTTAGAAAGTTACATTGAAAAAAAATTAAAACTTACATTGAGTTTCGTCAGAAAAGCCGGATTCGTCACAGTTCCATATTTGAGCTGGTCGAACATGTAGATTGTTGATATCAAAAATATTTTTCAATTTATTAAACCAACCGACTCGTACTTCTTCAGTGAATCCGTTAAGACGAACTTTTTCTAATTTTATTTCTTTCTTCATTTTTATTTTATCAGCATTCCGTTTGAAAAAATTGAAGAACCAATGTCGACTTGGATCACCTAAATACGAAATGCAAAAGAATTATTTCTCTAAACAAATAAAATTCACTTACTAATATTGTCACTATTTTGTTTATTGACCGCTCTAATAAAATCCCCAGCAATTTTCGATAGAGTTGTCTTTGTAAGTCGAATACCAATTGACTCCAGTTCTTTTAATAAAATCACTAAGTACTGTTCTTGGTTAATAGATAAGAGACTTGGATGACCTGACCCAACATAATTCTTTGCATTATTTTTGTGTTTCCGAATCGTACTTTCTGGGACATCAAATTTTTTCGAAGCATCAACAGACGTCATACTTTTACTACGATAAGCTGAAATTGCATTACGAAAATCCTCTAGGCTATATGTGACTCGACGTTTTTTAGTCATCTCGAAATTGAAAAACAAGGTTAAATTCAAATAAAACCGTTATATTATTTATCATACAAGCATAACGACTGAAAATAAAAATAAAAATAAAATCTAAAAGAATTCGAATTCGTAGTTCATCCATGCACACATGAATAGTCAAGAAAATCGTTGATGTTGAATTTTTGTGGACGAGATAGAAAAACAAAATTATGTCCGACCGTTTCGTATGCACTGAAACAATGTATTTTTCCTTTCACAGATACTAAATGATATATGTGAATACTTTCTCGCCGAATCTGACGTCTGAAATTTTCTTAATCAGCTGAAATCAATGATGTTCTACTGTGTATTCAAACAAAATAGAAATAAAAGTAAATACATAGTCGAAAATGACTGGACCACTTATATGTTGTAGAGAAAATAAAACTGAATAACTTTTGTTCCGGAATTGATGATGAATTTTCAAGTTGTGCAGCAGATGAAAACGAAAATACATAAAATCTAGTGATCTATATGCATTTTGTATGGATCCGTTCTAATAAGGGACCAGATTTTAGTGAACGTTCTAATTGAGGACG